CTGTTGGAATATTTACCGGAAGGTATCTTGTTAGCAGGGGGAATGACGGGTACATATTGATATAACCCTGGAAACTCACAATTACTCACTTAGGTTACTACAGATCGCCTGTATCACCTTACCCTACTACCTTGCAATTTGCTCATCAGGTACGTCATGTTTCTCTCGATAAATTCTCCCACCCTATCTACCCTTTTCGGGTAATAATACATATATACTGGCATACAAAATAAGAGCCTCTAGGTATGTTTTCCTGGCCTTCTACGCCTTACGTTAGTGGTCCCGCGAGGCCAAAACCCATCCTCATTTCGGAGGTACGGCATTCCCTCGGGCCAATTCATAGGTAGCCGCCTCGCTTGGTTGCATAGAGAGGGCCTCACTTGTCATCCCCATGCTGTCTTATGCTTTTACAAGTCACCCCGCCATAATGCCAATGACCATGTATCCCACACGAGCCAAATCATAGATAGTGCCTCTCAAAGCCGCTTGGCAACTAGCAAGGCCTCACCTGTCATGTTACTAATTAATACTTTCACCGCTTGGCATTCGTTACATCAGCCAGTTGGGTAGTGCCCCAGGTAACATGTTATTTTGTGTTGTAGCATGTCACAAATACATGAAGGCGGGGAAGAATTGTCCATCCCCAGTACACCGGCTAGATCGGTCACTCCATCCCGGGATGACGACAACGCGAGCCCTGCATCACTCAGGGCATGGACCATTCCTAGGATCACTGCCGAACTGAGAAAGAGGAACATTTCTTTCCCAGCTACGGCTAGGAAAGCCGAATTATATAGACTGCTGAATACTCAGACTGATAACTCGGGGGCGGGAGAAGGGTCCAGTAGCAGCCAGTCGGCTGATCTACATACTGTTTTGTCTTCAGTTCTGACCTCTTTGGGTCATATTACGGCCAAACTTGACAAGATGGATGCAGATAGCCAGCAACGGTCACCTTCGGCACGGGGGAATCCAATCGCTACGTTTCGCCCAGATCCCCTACCGGGTAATATTCCAACCGGTCTGAAAGACCCACATATTATTAACCTGGCACATATGGTGCCTGCAAACATAAAAAAGGACATCTTGGAAGGGAAGGATATCAATCTGGTATCATTTCTTATTGCTTTGCAAGATGTCCTTGAAAACAAAACCTATGCATATGGGGATGTGTCAGTTGTGTTGAAATCTAGGGACCCTAGGTTGAATCGCAAGCTATCCATACCCGAATTTGTGTTGGCTTTCGGGATCTACAGAGACGTGATATGCTCTGTATATCCAGATAGGAGAGAAGAATTGGATCTCTTTTTACGACTGGTCTTTTTACGACTACCACCGTGGTTTTTCCGCAAAGGCGTCGGCTGCTCTATCTCAGTTCAATTATCAAGCTGATTGGGGTGTGCTTGATACGGAGCTTTTTTGTCGACACTTTGCGGTCCCAAAACCCCAGCTTGTGCCATTTGCTCATCCAACTCCCACACGGCTAATCTGTGCCCTAACTCTCCAGAGGTGAATGCCTTATTTCCCCCTACTAATATAATGCCCACTGGGAGAACAGGCAGGGTGCTGAAAGATAAACTGGGACGTGATATAGTGTTTTTGGGAAAATCACAAGTTTGTAACAACTTTAACACTGGCACTTGCGGATACAGTGCCTGTAGACTACATGTCTGCTCCCAATGTTTCCGGGCTCACTCTAAAGTAATTTGCCCAAATAAATTATATCCCAAGCAGTACTTTTCGTCTCTTAATGTCTCCCTGCTGAAAGAGTTATTGTGTGGTCACCCATCGCAACATCTCGTAGAATTTTTGGTGGCAGGGTTTACCTTGGGGTTTCACACGGGTATTATTCGTATGCCTAATGGAATCTTAGAATGTAAAAACTTACAGACAGCACAAAACTTACAGACAGCCCAGACTTCCCGACACAATTGACCTACTTCTCCAGAAAGAAATTGACCAAGGATTATTAATTGGCCCTTTTGACTCCCCGCCTTTTGCAGTTTGGAGAACTAACCACATAGGACTGGTCACGAGTAAATCATCCAATAAACAGGTTAATTCTCGACCTCTCAGCTCCCCATGCATCACCTACCCCAAGTCTTAACTCGCTTATTCCATCAGAAGAATTTTCTCTCCAATTTGCTACCATAGATAATGCCGTCACTGCCATCCTCTCGGCTGGGGTAGGGGCATGGCTTAGCAAAACAGATATAGTGAACGCTTTTAAGTTACTCCCTATCCATCCGTCCCTGTGGCATTTACATGGTGTTAAGTGGCAGGGTTCATATTATTTTTTCAAGCGTCTCACGTTTGGTTCTAAGAGCAGCCCCAGGATTTTTGATATATTTGCTGAGACTTTGTGCTGGATGCTGCTTTACATCTGTAAATGCCCAACCGTTATCCATTACCTGGATGATTTTCTGACCATAGAAAGTAACCTGTTACCTCTCAGTAGCCTCCTTTCTATAACACGACTGTTCACACAACTAGGAGTACCTATTTCACCAACAAAGACTGAAGGTCCGGATACGATCATCAACTTCTTGGGGGTGGACTGGACTCTGGGGTTCTGAATATCGCTGCTGATCACTTATCGCGATCTCGGTTTCAGGAGTTCTGGGCGGCACTACCAACAGCTACCCTGATACCAACTCCGGTACCGCGGTTGCAGGAGATGGTTTGGGACTAAAAGAACTACTCAATCACGGGCATCAACTCTCTCAACTTGGTCTCTCCGATAACACCAGGAAGGCATAAAGTCCAGCAAGAATCATATTTTTAATAGATTCTTGCTGGACTTTAATATCACAGACCAATTTTCCATAGAGACATGATTGCATTCACAACACTATCATTCAATACCATTAAGTTATATATCACCGGTATTCAACATCACATCCTCACCACTTGGCCTAATAGACAACGCTTTCTGTCATCTTACCAAGTGAAAGCCATACTTAACGGTATCAATGACTCCACCCCTATACCCACACCATCCAGATTACCCATCCACGATCTATTGTTTCAGTCACTGTCAAACCTGTTAGACACCTCACCATTCGAAACTCACACTAATCATGTCATTAAAACAGCCATCTATTTGGCTTTTTACGGTTTTCTTCAGCCCAAAGAATTTACCACTGCTAACTAAAACTCCCCCAATTTCATCACAAGGTCAAACCTGGTGAAATCACACGATCACTATTTACTCTCCCTACACCTTACAAAAACTAGCGCCAAAGGACAGATGGTCACTATTACCTGTTACCCCACTAGTAATAAATGGTGTCCTGTGGAAGTTTTCGACAAATACCTCTCCTTCTTTACAATGGCTCCAACACAACCACTGCTAGCCTTACACGGTAATAGGCTCACTACGAGTAGGTTCATGCTCTATGTAAGAATGTTGTTGGTCCGGTTAGGCTTGAACCCAGCCAACTATTCTGGTCACTCATTTAGAATAGGAGCAGCTATTACAGCTTCTAAAAGGAATATCCCTGCGCACATCATTAAAATATTAGGCCGATGGAAATCCACGGCTTACACCAGATACATTCCTCAGCCAGTACAAGAGGTGCACCTAGCATTTAAGAATATGATTATGTGATATACTATGATGTATTTGTAGGGTGAATAAACTGGTTTATATCTTTTTTGCCCTCTTTTAATTCAGGCCTACTACCTCGTCACTTACGGAACACCACAACTGACCTTTCCATTCCTTGTTTGTCTTATGTTACTAACGCTACGGCTTTATGCCCTGACCACAAATGGAAGGCGGGGCCTGAAGTTGTGGGAGGGGCTTGGTTCCCCTTCTTAAGGAGCACCAGCCCTTCCCTCACTACTGTCTTAGGTCTGGTGAGTTGTCCCACCCACCACACCTCCTTTTATAAGCATTTCATAAGGTAGGCCCTCTTTTAATTCAGGCCTACTACCTCGTCAGTTACGGCACACCAGAACTGACCTTTCCATTCCTTGTTTGTCTTATGTTACTAATGCTACGGCTTTATGCCCTGACCACAAATATATATATATATATTATTTTTTTTACATTTATTCTATAATATACTCTGTAGCACTATTTTAAGGTATGAATAAACTGGAGTTTTACTGATTCAGGAGATGCCTTGTTTGCAAGAGTTTACAAACTATATTATTTTATTATTATATATTATTATAAATGTTCAGCACAAACTGATCTGCTCAGCATATTCCAATGTTTGTATTTAATATTGTCGCTTTTCTCTCCTGCGTCATTGAGATAAGAACATACACAGGGAGCTACTGTTATCTGGCAATAGAAATTGTGACCTAGATGCTGAGAGGCCACAGACATTATTTAAATGCATACTGGGGCTATGTGTATACAAACATATGTGAAATTCTAAGGCAGAACTTTAAAAATGGGACAGGAGCATTCTATGATGAATTCTCTACTTTTAAGAATTAAACTAAGAAGAAAAAAACCAATTACTTCAAATATTATAAATTATATGGAATATTCAAATATTATATGGAAATATGTCACATGCAAATTAGTACAAAACAGCAATTTTATTTATATTTGCTATCAGGGAAACAAAAAATGCCAATAATATAATGATACAGAATTTATATTTTTCACGTATTTGCCCATCCTTTGAAGAAATTTTGTGTCATGTAAACGTATCAGAGGTTACAGATTCCCTTAGCTTTCATAAATTATTATACAAGCACAAATTATATAGACGAAAACCATAACATAAACAGTCATATTACCTGCTTATGGGTATTTGGTGGTATTTTTAAGAATTGATATTCCCCCAAATTCCATCAGAATGTAATACTATGACTACTGGTTTGTCAATTTGTGTGAATTCTAAACAAATTTTTATCAACTTTATGACCAAGTAATTTCTTCTATGTTCGGTAGCTGAGTACAGAAGAGTTACTGCCATCTTCACTTTAAATTTTTAATAATTGCTAAATTATAAGACGTTTGCTGTTTTCTCTTACAGGCAATGACTGAGCATATTAGTTCTCTGTCATAGTGGAGGACAAGTGCCCTGCCCTGTATTTTCCACTGTTGTCTAAAGACTGTCACACAAACATTTGCAGTCATTCTCATAGGAACCCTGTTTATTTAGGCCTGACCCCCTGTTTTCTATCTGAGACCCTCTCATATCATGGAACTTTGGGGTCTCCTTATCTGGGCGTCCTTCCTGCTCTTGAGTGTGGCTGTGATCTCCTTACTGCTCTATTGTGGATACATTCAGTACATTCATATGAAGTATGACCACATCCCGGGACCACCTAGAGACAGGTGAGTAGTGGGGGACACTGTATTGCTTGGGATTGCAGCGTACTTCCAGGCCTGTATTTTTCATTATTTGACACAGACAACTACCTAGAGAGCTATGGATGACCTTGTAGGATACTACAAGGTCTACTGTTGCTTGTTTTAATGCTGTAGGTGTTAATAAACCAATAATAACTACTAACCTTTGCACTACAGATATTTGTGTCCAAGTTAAAGTTTGGCTGAGAATCATAGGAAATATAGTCTAAAATGTCTGTAGGCATTTAGCAAAAAAAAAACAAACATCCCTACGTAAGGCGGCAAACACTTGAATCTGCTGTTCAGCATTATGCAGACACAGTTTGTCCCAGTTTTCTGTCTCTTTTTGCTTAGGAAAGCAAAAGCACTTAATGTACAATGCAATAAGTCTCTAAATAAGTGATACCTAAATTCAGCTCTTTCTATTATGCTTGGATTGCAGGTTTTTGGTACTGCAGTATTTGTCCATAACACTGCCTTTAACCCCAGAACATCTTAAACAACTATATATGTAAATTTAATCAACGAGAATTCCACAAATTCAGCTACGCTTCAAGTTCACCTGCTCTGGCCTTCACTTTGAACGATCATTTTAGTGAATAACCCTCATCAGTCTTATGTGTAGTGATGTGCGAAATTTAGGTATACCTATACTTAAAAAAAAAAAGCTGTAATTGTTAGCAACTGAGTTAAGGAAGAAAAGGACAGGGGATCTCCTTCCATTATAACCTTGTAGCTGCACTTGCGCTTTTAATATTAATATGGGGTAATTTTCATAGAAATACAGAATTAGGGCCAGATAATAATGACTTCACTTACGTAGTTTTTGTAATACGATACAAATACAGACCTTCTTCTGACTAACCATTTCATAAAGTTTTGCAAGTTAAATACAGGACGTAGCTGGCAAAGGTGTTGTAGTTATAAACATTTGGAAGTGCTCTGCCCCTGATCTGCCTCCTTGACAGTCTCAGACAATCCTATGGGGAAGCATTGTGGTTGGCTCAGACCACCACTTCTGATGATGTCAGCAGACATGGGCAGGTCTGAGGCACAGAGGCAGAGCCAGGAGCTGCAGACTTGAAAACACGTAAGATTTCACTATATTTAGGGAGGAAAGCAGGGCTAGGGGGCTCGATGGTGGTTTTAATACTATAGGGTCAGGAATACATGTTTGTGTTCCTGACCCTATAGTGTTCCTTTAAAACTAGTCAAAGGACAGCCATTGCTACCCAGCTGCTAGAAATGCCATATCCAATGGAGATAGGGCCTGTAAATTAATAGGGGAAGACCAATCTCACCAATCAGAAGGATCTAATAAGAATTCTAAGCATGGGAAAGCCTTTATAAAGACTCTTTCTGTGCTGAGCCATAGTGAGGTGAAGATTTATTTTGTTTTGTACAGATTTTATTTTTTCCATCAGATTTTGTGCAAATCAGGTTTTTGTATTTTCAAAAGTTGTGTATTATGGATTTCAATCTGGCCATTTTTGGGGCTGAAGATAAAAAGATTTACAAGAAGAAAGACTTTTGATGGTAAATATAATTAATTATTTACAGGTATTAGTTTATTGACTATTATTAGGGTGAGGGGGGAAGGTAGAATTAGTTTAATTTAACGAGGGGTGACTAGGAGCAGTGAATCCCTAAGCCACCCAGGGGGAGTGGATTAAGGAACTAATTGGAGTGATTGACAATGACATGTCCACCACCATTCAATAATTATTTAGACCCATTATTTTACAGATTCCATCTCCAGTGACGTCCCAGTCACTAGTTTTAAATATTTAGTACATATGCCCCACATGCATAGGGAGGTGTTTTTACCCCCACAGGCTTATTCTTTTTTTTATTTTTTTTATTTATTTACTTTTTTAATATGGCAAGCACTGGACATAATTAACCCCTAAAGAGCCCAGAGTTTTTAACTATTTGTCTGCTGGCTGCTAGTGCTGAAAACATCTAGGCCCTCATTTGAAGCATATTCTGGTCCATTCTGTCCAGCTGAAATCCAGGCACTAATTCAGACCACCTTGAAGTATTGTATGCAAAATTCAGACATGATCAAATGTTTGGATTTTGCAGTCCAAATGACCCATATGCAGCTGGATGATTTTGCCCTGTTTGGTGTGAGGACTTTACTGAATACCCTGATCGTTACCTAGAGGATATTTTACCATCTCAATAGTTTGACCTAAGTTATCTAGTTTAATGTAGGAATTTTTTTTTTTTTTAATGCTTATTTCACTGCACTGTGCATGCTGTATTTATTTTCTCCCAAGGAATTCATTCTTTATTTCAGCTTCCTATTTGGACACATGCCCTCCATACTGAGAGTAACAGAAAACAACAATTTGGTCGATGATCTCTTTCTTGAGTGGTAAGATCACAATTTAATGGGGGTGCATCCCTTTTCTGGAAATCACACCATTTATTAAAACAAAAAATTGCCCTTTTTTCAAATGATGATACATTTACTTTTTAATGTATATTAAATGGACACTATAAGCACCAAAACAACTTTACTTTAATGAAGCAGTTTTGTGTATAGATCATGCCCCTACAGTTTCACTACTAAATTATCTGCCATTTAGGAGTTAAATCACTTTTTATGCAGCCCTAGTCACACCTACCTGCATGTGACTTACACAGCCTTCCTAAAAACTTCCTCTAAAGAGTCATCTAATGATTACACTTCCTTTATAGCTAATTCTGTTAAATGTTGCATTTCTTATCTTCTACATTTGCAGAGCAGGACATAAAAACTTTTAAAGTAACATCTGACTGAAAACGAAAGCTTTGTTTACATGTCAGTCACAGCCACGGGAGGTGTGGCTAGGGCTGCATAAACAAAAAACCAAAGTGATCTTACTACTCAATGGCAGTCAATTGAGCAATGAGACTGCTGGGGCATGAGCTATACACAACAACTACTTAATTTAACTAAAGTTGTTTAGGTGACTATAGTGTCCCTTTAAGCTAAAGTTGTTCTGGTGACTATAGTGTCCCTTTAAAGTTTGAGAAGGATTAATGTCAGAGCTAGATTACATAGGATATTTAGTGTTAATAAGATAACCGCTTCAGAAGGGTTAAAGTTGTAGTAAAAAGGCTGTTTAGAATTATTGAGTTTATTACTAGAGTTTGATTAACTTTAGAAATGGGGTGAATGAGGTGTTTAGTGCTTTAGATTATTTAAAAAAAGGATTAAGGTAAAGAGTTTATTTTTAGGTTAAGGCGTTGAGTGCTGGAATTTGAAGGGTTATTTGCAAAGTACTCACCCTCCTACTAGATCTGTAGACCAGTCACATTGATGATATTAGAGTTATAAGAGCTGTTATGCAGTATATATCAATCAGGGCTCTCCCTGCTCCTCCTGCAAGGCATTTCCTGTGTGTGAGGCTGTCAGTAGGTATAAGGGAAGTAATCCCTTCCACTTCCTGTCCAGCCTCACACACAGACACTGGAGGAACTGGGACAGCAGGTCTGCTATTAAGGCTGACTGGATAAGAGAGGACATTGGCCAAAGACACTGATATTTATCTCCCTTTAATTTAAAAAGGCACATTATAGGCGCTGTAAACAGGGCCCCCTAGTGGTTAGGCACGTACTCCACTAATTTGAAGTTTGTCTCTGCCGATGGAAGTGTCACATATGAGTCCGCTTATAAAAATGTGGTTAATGGCATTTACTGTCCACACAGGAAAAGTTGTCCAGAGCAGCAACCAAATCCACAGAAGGGTTAATGCTGAGCAGCAATTATGTAAATGGGAACCTGGTAACTGCCTTTGGGGTCAAAGGCTGGTTACAGCCTATCAGATCTAGAGGAGGGGTATTTAGGTCCATTTCTCATCCTGCTCAGTGCGCTGTTGTGGTTTCCCTTGTGGTTGTCTGAGAGTGCGTTATTGATTCTGGTTATTCTGATTATTTGACTTTGGCATTGTTTTTGACTTCCCTGTTTTCTGGCATCCCTGACTCCTGGCTTTTCCTTATCGTTGTGTCTCTTTCTGTTTCCCTTGACCTCGGCTATTTCTGACTATTCTTTGGTATGTTAGTCCGGCCATTCTAAGGTCCGGTATACGTTTCCTATCAGTCCTCTGTATTAAACAATTCTACGTGCTGGATCATTCTGTAATCCTGACAGGAAGAGACCTATATTGTGCTGCTGTAAACATATAACAGTGCCTTTACATTGATCTGCTGGACACATTTGCCTGTTTTAGATCACCGTAGAGACAGTGTTATTATTATTATCGCCATTTATATAGCGTCAACAGATTCCGTAGCGCTTTACAATATTATGAGAGGGGGGGGATTTAACTATAAATAGGACAATTACAAGAAAACTTATAGGAACAATAGGTTGAAGAGGGCCCTGCTCAAACGAGCTTATAGTCTATAGGAGATAGGGTATAAAACACATTAGGACAGGAAGTAGCAATCAAATTAGGTTGGAATAAAGCAGAGCTGGAGGAGAGAGTAGAGTGGTGCCCTTTAGGAGAGAGCCAGAGATGGGTATGTGAGGTAGGGTAGTGTTCTATGTTTATTGCAGTGCAATAAAAGTGGGTGACCTTGGTGGGTGGGTGAGTGGGGCAACAAATTAGGAGGGTCATTTTTTTTTTTGTTTAAGGCACTTTCACTGTAGTCCAAGTGTTCATATGGAATTCAATAAGAGAAGTTTTAGTCTTGGCAAATAATTTTGTGATAAAATTATTCTAACTTAGCAGTATTAGGCAATACATATTGCTATGCTTGAATTATTTCCTTTTTTGATCTAAAACTTCCTATTTGCTTTATACTTCTATATGTATTTACAATACATCTGTACCAAAATCAATCATAAATGCATTTTTAAAACTGTCTTTCACTCTGAACTCTCTGCAATAGTTTCAAATGTTTTTTTGTTTAGTTTCGAAAAGTCTGAGAGGTAGCCTGTTTGTTTGTATCGAGTGTCTGATACATTTGTAACTCTTCCTCTTTAATTCCAGCTATGGTGTTCTCTCTCTGGGCTCTGTGCCAAATCTAATGGTTGTTACAATTTACAAACATTCAAGCATCTAGTTTACTGCTTATCTATCTTTTCAATACACAGCTCTTTTAGCATGTGATTATAACACAAGAGGTTTGTTTTTGCTCACTTTATTGGGTTATTTAACCCCTTAAGGACGGAGCCAAATGTACACGGTGTGAACGAAACAAAATGTAAACAAAACCTGGCATTTGCGCTACATGTCTGTCCAACCGTAATACACCTCTTTCATAGTAAATGCACCCACCCTTATTATATATCATTTTATTCAGGGGAAACAGGGCTTTCATTTAATATCAAATATTTAGCTATGAAACATAATTTAATATGAAAAAAATGGGAGAAAATACGATTTTTTGATTTTTTTAGTTCTAAATTGCATTTTAAAGGTCAGTGTCATAATACTGTTTGATTTTACTGCAATAAAATACACATATTTGTATTTAGTAAAGTCTCACGTGTAAGACAGTACCCCCTATGTACAGGTTTTATGGCGTTTTGGGAAGTTACAGGGTCAAATATAGCACGTTACATTTGAAATTGAAATTCGCCAGATTGGTTACGTTGCCTTTGAGACTGTATAGTAGCCGGGAATGAAATTTACACCCATAATGGCATACCATTTGCAATAGTAGACAACCCAAGGTATTGCAAATGGGGTATGTCCAGTCTTTTTTAGTAACCATTTGGTCACAAACACTGGCCAAAGTTAGCGTTAGTATTTGTTTGTGTGAAAAATGCAAAAAACGCCAATTTTGGCCAGTGTTTGTGACGAAGTGGCTACTAAAAAAGACTGGACATACCCCGTTTGCAATACCTTGGGTTATCTACTATTGCAAATGATATGCCATCATGCGGGTAATTTTCATTCTTGGGCTACCATAGGGTCTCAAAGGCAACGTAACCAATCTGGTGAATTTTAATGTGAAAAAATGAAACACAAGCCTTATATTTGACGCTGTAACTTTTGAAAACACCATAAAACCTGTACATGAGGGGTACTGTTGTACTCGGGAGACTTCGCTGAACACAAATATTTGTGTTTCAAAACAGTAAAAGTATTGCAGCAATAATATCATCCGTGTAAGTGCTGTTTGTGCGTGAAAAATGCAAAAAACTTCACTTTTACTGGTGATATCATTGTTGTAATACAGTTTACTGTTTTGAAACACTAATATTTGTGTTCAGCGAAGTCTCCCGAGTAAAACAGTACCCCCAATTTACAGGTTTTATGGTGTCTTGGAAAGTTATAGGGTTAAATATAGTGCTAACAAATTAAATTCCCTATACTTTCGGCATGGGTTGTCAGGCAGGTCCCGCTAATTGTAATTAATTAGGATACCTAATTATGTAAAAATATTACATAAATATATGTGTAGAATTAATATATGTATATATATACATATGTGTATATATACATATATATATATATATATAAAAATTTTTAAAATATTTTTATTTATATATAGGTGTATATATATAGTGATATATACGTATATATTTATGTATATAGATATATATATTATTTCGTTCTACGTGTATTTTGATATAAATATATATATATATATATTAATATCACAATACAGTTAGAACGAAATAACAAACATCTATATATTTTTTTATTATTTATTTTTAATTATTTTTTAATTTTATTTTTTTTACGTATTTACATTTTTTTATATTATAGATAAATATATATATATATAACAATAATTATATATATATATTTAATCAGTATCAGTCTACGTGTAATTTGATAGTAATATATATATAAATAATTATATATTAATATTTAAATACACTTCGTGTATGTGTAAATGTGTGTGTGTGTGTGTGTGTGTGTGTATGTGTATATATATACTTAGATCATATATATATATAATATATATGATCTAAGTATATTTTATATTTAACTGTAATTTTTTTTTTTTTTACTAATATTTTATTTATTTTTACAGGACAGGGGGCAGAGACAGTGTCAGCCAGTGATTTTACATCACTGGCTGACACACAGGATCAGTGATCACAGTGACTGCCTGTCACTGTGATCACCTCCTGCAGATTGGGTAATTGGCCACAGGGGGGAATGCCTGGGTGGTACAAGCACTCCCCCCTTCCAATCTGCAGGGGGATCTGTGTGCCAGTTACATGTGTCAGCCAATAGGCTGACACATGTAACACTGATCGCAGTGACAGGCTGTCACTGCGATCAGAGCGCTCTGACACACGTTAAAAACTGATCGCAGTGACAGCCTGTCACTGCGATCAGTGACTGCAGATCGCGGTCACCGGCCACAGGGGGGGTTGCCTGGGGGGCCGGGCATCCCCCCCGACCGCGATCTGCAGCGGGCGACTAGCGCCGGCCACGTGGGCGGCCATTAAAGTGAGGGCGTACTATTACTCCCGCCGGCGTTTAGAGCCGGCTCCTGCAGGGCGTAATAGTACGCCCTCCGGATTTAAGGGGTTAATTAAGTGAGAATTCAAAGTGACTTTAGAATCTAACCCCTTCAGGATGGAGTCAATAGTGCACGTTCTGCTCAAAACAAAACGTAAACAAAAACTGGAATTTGCGCTATATGTCTGTTCAACCGTAATTCACCGCTGTCACATTAAGTGCACCCACCCTTATTATATATCATTTTGTTCAGGAGAAACGGGGCTTTAATTTATCATTAACTATTCATATATGGAACATAATTTATTATGAATAAAGTTTAAAAAAAAGTGAGAAAATAAGATATATTTTTTAAAAAATTTGTATTTCCGTCTGACATTTTAGCTGTGAATGTCATAATACTGTTAAGTTTTATTCCAAACAAAAAGCACATATTTGTAATCAGCGATGTCTTACGAGTACAACAGTACCCCCCATTAACAGGTTTTATGGTGTTTTGGAAAGTTACAGGGTCAAATATAGAACGTTCCATTTTCAAATTGAAATTTGCCACATTAGTAATGTTACCTTTGAGACGGTGTGGTAGCCCAGGAATGAGAATTATCCCCATAATGGCATACCATTTGAAAAAGTAGACAACCCAAGGTATTGAAAAAGGGGTATGTTTGGTCTTTTTTAGTAGCCACTTAATCACAAACACTGGCCAAAGTTAGCGTTCATATTTGTTTTTGTGTGAAAAAAGCAAAAATTTATATTTGGCCAGTATTGTGACTAAGTGGCTACTAAGAAAGACTGGACATACCCCACTTGCAATACCTTGGGTTGTCTACCTTTGCAAATGGTATGCCATCATGGGGGTAATTCTCATCCCTGGGCTACCATACGCTCTCAAAGGCAACATAACCAATCTGGCAAATTTCAATGTCAAAAAAATGAAATGCAAGCCTTATATGTGACTCTCTAACTTTCCAAAACACCATAAAACCTGTACATGGGGGGTACTGTTATTCTCGGGAGACTTCACTTAACATAAATATTAGTATTTTAAAACAGTAAAACATATTACAACAATAATATAGTCCATAAAAGTGCGGTTCGTTTGTAAAAAATGCAAAAAACTTCACTTTTACTTAAAATATCATCGTTGTAATACAATTTACCAGTTTGAAACACTAATATTTGAGTTCAGCGAAGTCTCCCGAGTAAAACAGTACCCCCTATGTACAGGTTTTATGGAGTCTTGGAGAGTTACAGGGTCAAATATAGTGCTTGCAAATTAAATTCTCTGCCCTTTCTCCCTGTGTTTTCAGGCATGTCAATCAAATTTTAATTAATCAAATCACATAATTATTGGAATTACTTAAATATACACATGAAATTTTTAATATATATGCATTGATAGGTATTTTAAATTCTACGTGTATACTAATGTAACTATATGTATTTATCTCTCTCTCTCTACTCTACACTCTCTCTCTCTCTCTCTCTCTCTCTCTCTCTCTATATATATATATATATATATATATATATATATATATATATATATGACTAGCGGTTATTTGTATTTTATATATATAGATAGATAGATATATATATATATATATATATATATATATATATATATATATATATATACTATATATATAAGTGTCATTCTAAGTGTATTTTGTTACCAATATATATATATATATATAACATATATATATATTAACAAAATACAGTTAAATAATTATATGAATATATAATTAATATTAAATTTGTTTCAATATTTTATTTATTATTTTATTTATTTATTATTGTAACTATACGTGTGTATATATATATATATATATATATATATATATAATATATGTGTATATATCTATTATATATAATATATATACATATTATTATATATATGTAACGTTATTCTAAGTGTATTTTAATACTTATATGTACTTATATTAATATTAAAATACACTTTGTATGACGTTACATATATATAATATGTATATATATATTATATATAATATATATATATATATATATATATATATATATACATTTTCTATTTTATTTTAAACATGTTTAATATTTTTTTTTTTTTAACACTCCCCACCAGCCGGGGGACTGTCTGACATTTAAGACAGTCCCCCTGCTGGCAGATCCACAGCCAGCTATAGGGGGCCATGTGATCGCTTTGAGAGCGATCACATGGCCCCCGGGGGCCTCATTTGCCGGGGGAGGGCTGCCTGGGCTGTCAGGCAGCCCTCCAGAAGAGGATCGCGGCGGAGGTAAGTCCACCGGATCTCCTGGGGCTGCAAGCCGTTACGGCGTTCTATGCCACCACAACGGCTTTAAAGCCCTTTTAATGCGGGACGACATAGAACGCCGTAACGGCGTTAAGGGGTTAAGGTCGAAATAACCAAAGTGGAAAAATTCTCTAAGTCAGCCATGCTGCCCTTTAGGGTACTCTGGCCTTAAACTTTAAATTCACATTGAATTCACATTTTAGTAAATAACCCTGTATGTGTTTTGGGAATTATTAATGCGGGGCCAGGATATTCAATGGACTTTCAATTTTAATGATGATTATTTATTGGAGTTGTACATTTATAAAGATTTGTTTATAACTACTTTACTCCTCTCTAAGTAGTGTGTACTTGAATAAATTTTTAGGTGCCTTGAAGTAGTTGTTTTGTGATCACAAACATAGAACCATAAAATGTGATGGCAGATAAGAACCATTCAGCCCATCTAGTCTGCCCAATAATGAAGGGACTACAGAATAGAAGTAATCGTAGACAGTCATCTTCCAGTTGGCTGGAGATGGGAGCTCTTTACTTGAGACACCTAAATAGAAGAGCTTATCATAGTAAAGGGCAAATACGACGAGCAATCTGGAATTGTTCAGAAATCAAATATCCAGGCAGCAAAGTTCATATATGGATAGGATAAGCATAGGGTCAAAGTCCAAGTTAGCAATAGATCCACAGAATATAACAAGCAGCAAATTCCCAACTGCAGGCAGAGGACCAAGTCATGGGTCAAAAACTAACCGCAGGACAGATATAATACTTAGTGCTAGAACATTATGCTAAAGCACAGAAAGACTGTGCAACTTACTTAGGCCCTTTAATGTTTTTAAATAGGGTGCATGTGTAGGGTACACCTCCCACTGGTATATCAATTCTTCCTCAAACTTCCAGTGTGAGCTGGGACTGGGAATTTCATAGGACAGCAGCAAATGCACCTCTCAAGGTACGGGATCAGCCCAGAACCTGGTCTGGCACCTTGTCCCTCCCAGAGAAGTGTGCCACCCAGGAATGAGAGAGGAGAGGCCACGATGAGGACCTGGCTCCTTGATATAAAACAATGTGTCTTCACTAAACAATGGTGACACACTGAAATTACATAGGACCCACAATTGAGTTTAGACCAAGGGATGCAACTAATTAGGTACCAATATCCTTGAGATACCCACTATGTATTGAGTGCATTTTTATATTTTTCAGGGCAAAACTGTATGGTCCAGTCATGCGTATTAACATATTACACCATCTGAAGATCCTACTTACGAGTCCAGAGGGTGTGAAGGTATGATAGCAAATGGTGATCTGGTTAACCACTATCATATGTAAAATACAATAATAAGTGCATATGCAGCAGCATACACTAATATAAAATACCTTCTTTAAATGTAGCAATATTATTCTATAACCAACATGTGAATGTACACTCACTCAGCTTATTTTAATAGAAAAATCATTCTTTAAATACTGTACCATTTGCATTATTATTTCTTACTGTAATTATGGGCAAATTATGTTTTGCAGGAGGTCCTCATGTCCCCGGAACACAGCAAGGATGCAGCCTACAATCGGGCTGCTACTTTGTTTGGTGTACGGTAAATAAACATATTTGGTATTCGGAGTGATCTTAGAAAAAGTTAATCTGTAATGTTACTTGCCTTTCTTATACAAAGTCCCATTTTGGTGGGGTTATATTTTTACCTTGGTTATGGTTCCAGACGTACCCAGGTACCCCACTATTGTTAGTAGTTAAATGGTTTTAGAATCGTTGGATCTCTTACCTTGGGTCTTCACTTCATCAGCTAGGGAGCCAGAAGCTCCTAAGAAGGAGCTTCTGTTCGCTGTCCTGAGCTAGGCCCCGCAATACAGAGTTAGTTAAAATTCTGAGAGTGTCAGCTGATTGCTCTTAGCCATCCTGCACTGCAAAGCTTAACGCAGACAGAGAGCATCCGGCTGACTCTTGGAAGTTATGAAGACGGGCAGTGGTACCAAGCAGAGCCCAGGCAAGAAATCACAGCATTCTAAAAGAGCTTGATTCAGAGCACTCTTAAAACCATAACCACTACAATAAACTGTAGTGTTTATTGTGCTTTAAAGCGACATTCCCCGATAGCAAGGATAACTTGCCACAAATGTGTGGAAGACTTAAATTGTAAGTCTTTTTAACTTGCTGCATATTTTCACTTGGAAGTTATTTACTAGCAGAGCACTTGCAGCACAAGTTCTAGTTGACACTTTTTAAATTTGCATCAAAGTTGCCTGGCAAGTCTCTAGCAAGAGCAAAGTTGCAGTGGCAACTGGTAAGTCTACCGCAAGAGCTCTGCAGGCCTAGAGCAAGAGCCCTGTAAATCTACAACAAGAGCCCTGCAAATTTTTATAGGGTCTATTCACTAAAAAGTGAATAGGCGAGGAGAATTGCAAAATCTAGCCAAATATATAGCTGAACTAAAAAAAATCTCCCATTCAAATATTTCTAGTTCAGCTATTTCGGCTTAGATATTTCCATTTCCCTGACAATTCACCTCAATTCACTTTTTAGTGAATAGCAACCTTGTCATTAAAAATGTTGTACTTTAATATGGCCTATGGCTTTATAAAATTAGATGTCTTAATTTTATTAAAATTGTAGATTTTTTTTCTCCAATAAAACTATTAAATTAAAGATATATTATAACCTTTATTCCCCATGGGTATGGGAGGGCACTTGGCATCATCAGAGAATTCTAAGAACCATTTTTCCTTTTCTTCCAAGTAAATCCAGGGAGTTTAACATCCAATTACAGAGTCTAATAGACTGTTTTCAAAAAGTCCAAAGTTCATTTATGTGTAACTCTCTTCCAGGGTTTTGAAATTATGATGTCATTCCAAGCTGTTCCCTTCCATTTGGAAAATGTTCTTTTTAAAAACTGCTCAGAAGTTCAGCATGTATATACATCAAACAAAATAATAGTTTATGTGAGCTTTGGTCCCTATTAAACCAACTATACTACCATGGGCATCTGCAGCGTAGGACAAGAGGGACCAGGTGCCTTTCAAGTTTCTTGTGGCGGAATAACGAGTCATCCACCCATTGTTCTATGTCTACCTATGGTGGACTATCTCTCCCATGGGAAACGTGGCCTATAGAAAGCTCTTTAGTTTCTCTTGTGTGTTTCAGACTAATGGGAAATGGTTTGGTGACCGACCAGGACAATGATCACTGGAGAAAGCAAAGATCAATGATTGACCCTGCATTCAGCAGAAAGTGAGTAGAGGACTACACATTGGCCAAAACACTTGCGGGAGATATGTGAAACTGCAGCATGATGCGTAATGGTATAATCTGTGTGTATTTATTGACTAATCAGTGAATTGCATAGAATTGAGTGCGGAACATTTTCCAACTCTGCTATACCACCAATATAGGTAGTTATCTCAAGTTTGAAAATGTAACTTCCAATTGAAAGAGATTCACTACTTGGTAACAAAAAGTTAGGTACTAGAAAAAAAAAACAACCTGATCATTTGAGAAGGAATATGTCAGAAAAAAAAGTAGACAGTATACTCAAAATCATTTTTTTTAAACAAAATGTTTTTATTTAATTTTAACAAATATCCTTTCTTTGTGTACAGCTTATTTTTGATTCTTAAAAAAACATTCTTTCTATCTGTCACCTAAACTAACACCAAACTGAAGACCATCTTCTTGGCTAAATTCCCATTTACTATATTGCAATTTGTTTTAGTTTTTTCTCAAGTCTTTGCAAAATAAGGTAATAATCCTCTTTGGGGGCAGATATATGGTAGCTGTGGCAGCTGTGGGCATCTCGGGATATTTGAACTAAAGTTAGGTGTCAATTTTTTCTCTACAACTGTGTGATGATTGAATTTGTACATACAGTTTACTAAAACAGTTGATGTAAGTATCAGATGAACATTTGTCAAAAACAAAATAATTCATGTTTTCTTCTGTCATTGCAACATTTCTTCAATGATGATCATCTTTCTGATCAAGGTACTTGAATGGATTAATGGGGTTATTCAATGAAAAAACTGAAGAGCTGATGGAAAAACTCTCAAAAAATGTTGGTTGCGAAATAAAAATGCATGATCTAATGAGCCGGTTGACTCTGGATGTAATCGCCAAGGTAATCTTGCAAAGTAAAACAATAATATTTCTCTAAATTAAATTCCCATTTTTATTAGTACTAAATGGGGGGGCACAGGGGGAGGGAGGGAGGGGTAGAGGGAGGGACCGTCGATAAATGGAAAGATGAAAATAAGTGTAAAAGAAAAGTTGAAAGGTTTGGTGGACCAGTAGAGAGAAACAAAGTTGGCTGTAGGGGAAGGAAAGGAGAGACGTAAAAGAGAGAAGTTAAAAAAAAGGTAGAAAAGCTAGGATAATTTGAAGGCTTATACAGTCTAAGCGCTACAGAATCTGTTGGCGCTATATAAATGGCAATAATAATGATAATAGCAGTGGAAGATCTTAAAACATAAGCAATGGGAAAAAAATGTGGTTTTGGCCAACGTGTTGCAGATTGGTTGAAAAGTCACTGAAACAGTCAAGTTAATCATTTAATCTTTGAGTCTTCTGTGATATCAAGGAGATGAGGGAAGTGTTGCTAAATGAAGCCACCGGCAAGACAACAAACTACATCTCACCTTGTTGATTACAGACAGCATTTGGTTTGGAGATAAACTCACTGAAGGATGACCAGGCCCCCTTACCACAAGCCATACTGCTAGTAATGAAAGGCCTGGCAGAATCCATGAATCCATTTGCAAAGGTTTGTTTCAAATACTGTTCAGGGATTGGGATTCTAGTACTATTGGAAATTTATAAAGTTTCACTAGTGGCCAGATTATATGCCAAGTTCACTTTGGATGTGGCTTCATTCTTTGTTAATGTATGTTTTGTAATTGATGACACACAAATGGTGCACTCTAGGTGTTCAAAGGGACCTAAGCAAACATATTTATGAGTATCTGCCTGAAGAATTCTCAATATAGAGATTAAAACACAGTGTTATCGCATGACACTGCCATTGACCATAAATGGGGGGTTATACTGCTAACTTATGTGCAAAATCCCACGTACATGCAGCGCTGGGCTGGGGTGTTGGTGGAGAAATGCACTCCTGTTGTGCCTTGCATGCAAAAAAGAATGATGTAAATATCCTAGAAAGGAGAAGATGGAGGGAAGGACTTTACTTGACATCTTCTTGAAGATATTTTGTAACATCACTGCTTACATTAATTTTGTTATGTCATGTATCTTAACCAGAAAAACATTACATAGTTTCCTTTAACAATATGTTCCTGGTATGATAATACATGTTGCAACAGTCCTCTTAATCAGCATTTTAAGTAAACAAACTAATTTTTATTTATTTTTTTTATTTGAAAAGTTTATTCCATGGAAGCAGTCCTTTATTCAAGATGTTCAAAAACGTGCCCGGCTTCTCCGTCAGACTGGGAGAGAATGCATAGAGAAAAGACAGAAGGAAATGCAGAATGGGGATAACATTCCAGAAGATATATTGACTCAGATACTCCGGGCAGCAGGTACAACACACATGTCACGTTAGTCAGTTGCATTGTTGTAAAATAAAAAATGATGTTTTCTGGTCTAAATCTAGAAGTCAAAACCTCAAAAAGGAATATTAGCTGTATATGTGAAGCAAATCAAAATCTTGTTTTCCCTTGGATAATGAAAAAAAAGAGTGAATCATGGTGAATTTAAATGAATTTAAAGGAATGTGCCCCCTCTCCCCACCCCCCCCCCCAAAAAAAAAATGATTTAAAAAGCAATATTTAGTAAATAAGTCCCCCAATGAAAGCATATTTATTCCTGCATGCTATCTATGGGGTATATCTAGAAACAGCTTTCAAAATCTGCAAACCTGCCTGCAGCCTTTGCAAGCCCTCCCCTTTTTCCTGAGCACAGATGTTTAGTCTTTGCAATGAAACACACAAATTAAAGGCTTCTCATTTAGAAGCCTCTGTGATGGAGCCACATGCTTATGTGCACACACGTGATTGTGGCTTTTCTGTGCTTCTCACTGAGATGTAATACAGGCCATTGAGAGTGGGAATACGAAGAAAGCTACACTGGGTGTATGACAACCATGGATGTGTTTCTGGCCCCAGTTATAAAAGTGTTCGTTTTTATTGAAAAATACACCATTATAAACTGTTATGAATGTGACAGGCTCCAGACACATACATCAGTTTAGTGCAGGGGTAGGCAACCTTTTAGCAGCACTGTGCCGAAATAAGATAGTGATGGCCCATAGCATGCCGGTCCTATTTTTTTAAATTGAGGTGTGTATGTTGCTGTATTCTGCTTGTGTTACTTATACTGCAGTTGTTTTGTATCGTTGTATTTGTGCGTATATGAGCTATTTTATTGGATATGTTCATAAGTAGTTTGTGGTATTGTGTACCTATGAATATGGGCTGTGTATGGGGGTTGCTTGTGGAATTGTGTGTGTATGGATATGCCACATTGTGTGTTTCGTAGTGTGTTCATGTGTGGGGCTGTTTGGGGTATTGCATGTGAGAGGCTGCATGTGGGGTTGTGTGCATGTATATGGATTGTCAGTGGTGTTGAGTTTGTGCGGATTGTGCGTAGGCTGTTCGTATTATTTGTATGAGCGTAGGGTTATTCTGCAGCTCTGTGTATATCTAGCAGTGTGGGTGGCTTCCCTGGGTTCCTCTGGGACCAGGCTGGCCAGGTACAGCTCAAGGGCAAGAGCTGCGATAGCTGCCAAGGGCTGCTCTACTACAGTGTGGATTCCCAGTTACAACTGCTGGAAGGAAGTGATCTGAGATCAATTCCTCTATGTGCTGCAATGCATAAATTGAGGATTGTCCTTCAGCACCTTTTCGTATTTGCAGATATCTTACGTTTCACTGGGACTCCTGATAGGCCAGAGCCTGTTTGGCTCTAGCAGCCTCGAGTGCCGTGCAAAGACACATCGCGTGCCGTGCATGGCGCACATGCCATAGGTTGCCTACCCCTGGTTTAATATATGTGTCTGGAGTGCTCATTTAAAACCAAATGGCGACCTGAGGTCAAAATAGAAAGATTAGAATATAGTTGGAAACTGTTATCAACTCATCGATTTCTCCTTACATTTTGCATATGAACGTTTTACATTTTTAGCGTATAAAACCGCTTCTGTTTTTGTAGCCTAATTTATTTTACGCTCCGTCGGTTTGAGTTACACTCAAGATGTGAATGTACATTAAAACAAAATGTGAATATTATTATAAAATAAAAAAATGAATAGAGCAACTGTATTTCCTACAAATGAAGGTTAATAGAACTTACTGGTGAATTTATTTCCTTGAATAGAGTTTATATCTCTTTAAAAATGTAAAGTGTATATTCCCTCAACTAGGAAATCACTATTAAATTCTAGGACAAAATAGTTAAAATGGGAAAATTCTGCAGCTCAGCTACTTTGTCCTAAAATTTCAAGTTCACCTTTCTTTCCATACTAATTTTTACTGAAATTCAACATTTTCAAAAATGTTATTTCCTCAGTTAGTCAATGGAAATTTACTGACACTCTCAAGGTGACGTAAGGCAGATACCTAATTTTTGTTTCTTTTTGCCTTTTCGCAGATCTAGAGGGGGACTATGATCCTGAGAGTTTAGTAGATAACTTTGTTACAGTTTTAATTGGAGGTACGTCAAAAACTATTTTATTTATTAGAATGTGAAGGCAGTTGATGCCTCTCCAATTTTTCTTTTACCTCTTAATGTTGTGTTGAACGTGTCTGATGTCTGCAATAGCTATATAACTATGGTTACATTCCTTTACTGCTTGGAAGGGTAGAGACTGTGTGTTGCTTTAAAAAAAGAGACAAGGTTTTGAAAGACAGACATAGGTTCAAATTGAAAATCAAATTGCTAATCTGTACGCTAAATATTTAAATTGTGGAACGGGAGAGTTTTTGTACTAAATAAAACCAGTTGTTATTTTTCTTTTTGTTGTAGATTAAAATTGCCAAAATTGTTGTTTATCTCAAACACTTGTTATCAATCTGAATTTCCAGTTTGATAGCATTGGAGATCTATATATCAATGGCGTATACTGAACGAAGTCTAGGTAACAGAACTGGTGTAGGAAGGTGAATAATAAAGCTCATTCTCTCATTGAACTGTTTTGTAAATGTTTTATGTTTCAGGGCAAGAAACCACAGCAAACCATATATGTTTTGCACTGATGGAGCTGGCAAAAAACGTGGAGATACTGGCAAAGTGAGTCCTGCATCGTTTTAGCCATAGGAGGACTGGCAAGTGGGCAGGGGGCATGGGCCACTAGCATACAGGGACTGTTGGTTGCAGCTTCGCACACCATACTTTTGCAGCTTTAAATATAAGGGTGGCATCTGTTGGCAGAGTACAGAAGGAGTGAGGTACCCGGCAGGAACTGTGTAGGGCAGCACACTGTGGGTTTATGCTTGAACTAGCGCCCATAATCTCAATATTGTGTAGCTCTGGACTGGCCCACCTGGATATTTCTACAGTATCTGGAGCTGACCAAACTGACAAACTTTGTTTATATGTTTGTAAGAAACCCACAGCACACCAATATATGTCAAAAAGTACATCTTTATTCCATACACATAATGGATCATATAGTATGTAAACATATATAAAGTGCATAGATATATAATACAAAGTTAACACATGTGCACATCATTCATTAACAACTATAACAACAGTAAAGTGCATAAATAGGTTACCCATTCAGTGTATAAAACATATATACTGACCTATGGCTGAAGACCAAAATTCTTACGTTTCAGCTTATGCCCTTTTCACAGGACCTGTAAAAGCTTCTCCATCAGACCACCAGTGATCTATCTCCCCAACATGCCCTCATTCACTGGACTACCGGTGAAAAAAACTTTGCTACACTCAGATACTACACAACACAGACTACCCACACACAACACTCAGCCTTCCCTCCACACACATAATATTAAGGCTCCTCCAAACACAAAATTCAGTCACCACACACACACAACACTTAACCAACACAGCCACATTCACACACCCAATATACAGCTCTCAGCCTCACCCCCACACTTATTATTCAGACTTTCCTACAAACATACAATACTCAACAAACACATGACTCTAGAAGGGGGGCCCAAAGTGACATCCTGCCCAGAGCCCTTGAGACTCTTAATTCCACTATGACAAAGCCTTAGTATGGTAGTACACTAAAAGGTTAATATTATGGCCAGATGAAAGTTAGACGGAAGTTAGAATACATTTAATAGGAGATTAGGTCTTTAAAAGTGCAGAATTGTATTTTCACTAACTTGATGATAAACTTCAGAAGAACCTAGAGGTGACTATATTTCTTTGCAGAGTGCAGGCTGAAGTCAATAAAGTGATTGGATCAAAGAAACATATTGAGCATGATGACCTCCGAAAACTGTGTTATTTATCCCAGGTACTTTAAATATAGTTATTTTGATATTATTAATTTAGATTATGACATGCCTGATTATAACTGGTGGGAGGGAAAATAAAAAAGGAAAGCATTAGAGCACAACGTCCATTCTCAGAAAATTATTAATTTACAAAGATAGCTATAGACTATATATTGTCAAACTTTGACTTACTAACAAGGTTCTCTATTGATCCCTATTGACAAGTATAAACAAGGATAGAATAATGTATTACCAACTTTAATGTGCTTAGGGCTACTTAGGCAACTCTAATACATGAAATACCCTGTTTTACATTTGCATGATTCCATTCGTGAGTAAACTAATATATGTTCGGAGACGTTTACCCAAACATATATTTGAGGGATTAAATTAATTCCCCTGAACGTAGACCTGCTTTCTAGCGCATGCTTGAAACCGTTTTTCCCCGAAATAAGACATCACCCGAAAATAAGCCCTAGTTTTTTTTTGGGGGGGGGGAAATTAATACAAGACACGGTCTTATTATTAGGGAAACTTGGTAGCATAACCAATTGTTCAGTTAGCAAGTTGAGTTCTATCTCCAATCTGAACTCCTCACATGTGACTAATTACAGTATTATTAATGTAGAAACACTCACTAAAATGCTACTACAAAATGATTTTATTCAAGTGTAAATATACAACATTTTCAATGCATACAAAAGCAAGATATGCATAAAAACTAAGAAAAAAAGAACAATCAAAACAGCATTCAAATTAATCAAAAATAAACTTTTAAAAACTCATTTAGCTGACAAATATGAGAAAGGTCCCTTGAGAAATGTGGAGAAAGACTGCAACCAAAAAAAAAGTTAGTATAACGTCAATGGTCAGTTAAGTGAGTTTGATTTTTTTTTTTTGTGTGATTTATTTGGATATTATTTTGATCACCGCTTTCAAGGACTCAGGTCGAGATCCTCAAAAATATGAATTATGTTCCTGCAGGTCTTGAAGGAAGCTCTACGTTTATACCCCACAGTACCGGGCACATCTCGAGCGATAAAAAAAGAAATCATCATAGAACGAGTGAGAATTCCTCCTAATGTAACTGCAGTGGTATGTTCTTCAACTGATATTTTTTTATTTCCTATTTATTATATTTTGATTAAAAGATTTGTCAAGCGACACACAGAGTGACGATTGCAGCTCATTGGAGTATTATAAAATTACCTACACATCGACACAAGTAAGACACGACATTGTATGCTACAAAATAGACATTTAGTTACATTCCCAGAGTTCTAGGTTTCAACTGATATTTTATGTTATATATACTATAATAATAATAATAATATTTGTATGCATATATAAATAACAAAAATATATATCAATAAACGTGTTAGAATATCAAATGCAATAAAAAAATTTTCTTGGATTTACTGAGAATGTCAAAAAAAGATCTCAAATAGAAAAGTTACTGTGTATAATAAAAACCTTGTTATACAATATAAAAAATAGGTTATTAAAGTGAAGATGTTAAAGGACACTAAGCACCATAAACGTTACATCCCACAGTAGTGATTATGGTGCTAACGGGCTACTCACACTTTCCTCCGGTTCTACACCACATTGTTTTCAAGCAATTTAACACAAGGATTCCCAAACACCCTTGGCTAGGCCCTACAGTTCCTGGGCTGATAACCAATGAATACTTTCCAAATTCAGACACAAATGACTGTGCAAATGCGGACGTGCAAGGGGTAAGTATGTGGGCACCTAGGGGGTCCTTGATTTTTGTCAAACTGATTGAAAACTCCAGGAAATATTTAAATGCAAGAATGATCTTGTGAGTAATAGACAGTGGATTCATCTCTCAATAATAAAATAAGGTTTATAGCTGTTAAAACATTTTCCGAAGCATCGGGTTAAGAACAATACAACAACTTTATGTTTGTAAATCTCTATTCTTTTTAAACATTGATTTCTTCATTAGTCTAATAACATGTTTGCTTTCTCTGTATGCAGTTTAATTCATACATCATGGGAAGGATGGATCAATTTTACCAGGATCCTCTCACCTTCATCCCGGAGAGATTCAGCCCTGATTCTGCCAAGTAAGAGATGTCATTCTCAGGGGCACACTTTGCTCTCGTCCATGTAATTTAAATACGATTCATTATTTTATGTTAAACATTAATGTGCAGCATGACTTTCAGATTAATATACTACATATTTATTTTACGTATTTCTTTCCTTTTTTTTTTATATCCACAGGCCATATTTTACCTATTTCCCGTTTTCACTGGGTCCACGTTCTTGCATTGGACAAGTGTTTGCGCAGGTAATTTGGATGGATTTTGGATATAAGTAACTCTTGTAACACATGATGAACTATCTACTGGCCAAAATAGCAGAGTTTGAAAAATGCTTCCCCATAGGATTGGCTGAGACTGTCAAGGAGGCAGACAAGGAGCAGAGCCAGCACAAGCCAAACACAGCCCTGGGCAATCAGCATCTTCTCATAGAGATGAATTGAATTAATGAATCTCTATGAGGAAAGTTCAGTGTCTGTATGCAGAGCAGTGGTGTATCCTGGTTTTGTGCTGCCCTAGGCAGGACAAAACTCAGGCGCCCCCCAATCCCTCTTGCGCGCGCGACCCCCACCCATCCCTTCCCCCCGCCTTCTAAATACACACACACACTCACTGACAGATATGCATACACTAGCTAACAGAAACACAAACTCACTGACACACACAGTCAAACACACACACTCACTAGCAGAGACACACTCACTCACAGACACACTCACTCACAGACACACACACACACACTCACTAACAGACACACACACACACACTCACTAACAGACACACTTACCTTTGGGAGTGCGGGGGATGGAAGGGGTTCTCTATCTCCCTGGTGGTCCAGTGGCTGCTGGGTGGGTGGCATTGGTGGGCGGCTGGCGAGGGAGCTCTTCCCCTGAGCGGTCTGCTCAGCTCCCTCGCGCGCTGCAGAGTGAGGCTGGGAGCCGGGTTGATGACGTCATATCCTGGCTCCCAGCCTCACTCTGCAGCGCGCGAGGGAGCTGAGCAGTCAGCTCACAGGAAGAGCTCCCTCGCCAGCCGCCCGCCCGACAATGCTGCCCAGCGCCGCCCAGCATGTCTGTTAGCCGCGAGGCTAACAAGACATTTGCCTTGGGCATTTGGGGGGGCGGCTTTTTTTGCCGCCCCCTGAAAAATGCCGCCCAAGGCAAATGCCTTGTTTGCCTCGCGGCTAAAATGCCCCTGATGCAGAGGGAGGAGATACTGAAGTGTTGATGCATTTTAGGCAGCAATGACCCAGGAAGGATCTCTAACAGACATCTTAGGAGTTGCCAGTGGAGTTATCACTAGGCTGTAATGTAAACTCTGCATTTTCTCTGAAACAAGCAGTGTTTACAGCAAACAGCCTGAAGGGATGATCTACTCACCAGAACAAATTCAATAAGCTGTAGTTGTTCTGGTGACTATAGTGTCCCTTTAACCCCTTAAGGACACATGACATGTGTGACATGTCATGATTCCCTTTTATTCCAGAAGTTTGGTGTTTAAGGGGTTAAGCATTTTTAGACACTAACCCAAATTATATACATATTGTGAGCTTGGATATATTCTTCAATTGTAATATTAGCTCAGTGACTAATTCTGCAATTAAAACATAATGCAAAAGAAATTCAGAAAAACCCCTTTATTCAACTACTCCTCGTGTCAGAGCAGTTCCCCTTTAATATTGAATGTTCTTAGCCAACATAAGATATATTTATGTGGATGTCTAGATTGATAGATTTTATTTTTCATATAGATGTTATCCCAAGTGGTGATTGCAAAGTTAGTCCAGAGATTCGAGTTGCAGTTGGTTGAAGGACAGAGTTTTAACCTTTTAGACACCGGGATCCTCCGATTCAGGGATGGGATCATCTGCAGATTGAAATCCTCAGCGACTTGGACATAAAGAAGAACATTATTTTTTACAGTGTCAAAAACTTGTGTTGCTCAACATTAAGGCTAGATTCTATTATAAGAGATAACTCGGTAGTGCAATCACGTTGTAGGATAAATCAGTCTAATGTATTACATGTGTATATAAGTTAAATATCTACATATGAATCAAAGCGGCTCTGTCATCTCCCCAAGAAAAAAAAAAGAGTATGTGATAAAGATAAAAACTTTATGAAATGCTCACACTGATTGTGTTGGAATTTCACTGAAAGAAAAGTAGGGACTATTTTGTCTTAGTATATACCCTACAATTAACAAAATTCTACAAAATGTGTAGTTAGCGCTGTTAAGTTTTGTAATTTGTCCAAGCCGCCACTAAAAACTTCTGTAGTGAAAAAGACATTATCTATGGAGGATTCCACAATATTGCGGAGACATCATTGTTCGTACAGTTATGCATGCAGGAGAGAACAATGCTGACATAGGTTCCTGGCAATGAAGCTGCATTTGCTGAAGAGGATTGGCAGGAAGACCATGGAGGTAACCACGAGGGACAACTTCTTCAACCTGTGGTCACTGGAAACCAAGCAGAGTAGTCACCATTGGGGGTATTTGAAAGTATGCATTGACCCATTTTCATATATGCATTCACACATTTCACACATTTCTGCTGTTAGTTCAAAAGAAATAGAAAAATCACTTTAACTTGTGTTTTCCAATCTTGCCACAGAATGGGAAAAAATGCTTCTTTATCTAAAAAATCAGCTAGCTGTAAATCTACATTATAATATACTTGAATATTCTATTTTCAAAAACTGCATCCAAATATTGTATAGAAAACTGTGCAGAATCTGATAAAAACAACCTCTATAGGTAGAGTATTCCATATTTTTATATTAGTACAGCAACTTTTCCTTTGTAGTAGGACAAATCTCTTCTCTTCAAATCTAAATAGGTAACCTTTTGTTCATTGTACAGTCCCATTAATGAACAGGTTGCCAGAGAACAGTTTGTACTAGCGCTATATATATATATATATATATTTGTATAACACCTATCCACCCTTTCGCCTCCAACTCCTTGTAAATTCTCAAAATACAGACATTCAACTAAAACATTTAAATCGTACTTATACCTTCTCTTGCTTTCTACACTGCTACTCCTGGCAGCTAGCGATGTCTCTCCAAACCCTGGTTCTGCTTCTACCCACCTACCTTGTGTTCATCCTTGAAACCTCCCCAATCTTATATCCATCCCATGTAACTCTCCTTTTAAGCCCTCCTTCCATTCTGCCCTCTGGAATGCAACAATACTAAATGTACTTTCATCCATGATGTATTCCTCTCACGCTCCCTTAACTTACGTGTTTTAACTGAAACTTGGCTCTCTTCTTCTGATACAGCTACCCCTGCCTCATTATCCTATGGTGGTCTACACTTTTACACACCACCCAAGACAGTCTGACAGTAAAGGTGGCAGTGTAGGGTATCTCCTTTCACCTCAATGCTCCTTCAAAACTCTACCCAACCCCCCCTTCTCTCTTCTCCTTCGAAATTAACTCGATTCACTTATTCAAACCCTTTTCTGCTAACATTGCGTTATTTACCCCCTGGTTCCCCTCTTCTCTTCCTTGACCACTTCGCTGCCTGGCTACCCTACTTTCTCTCCTCTACCTTACCATCCTTAATTTTCAGGGACTTCAATATTCCCATTAACCCACCCCTGACCTCAGCAGCCTCTAAATTACTTCCTCCCTTGGGCTATCACAGTGGGCTAATTCTCCCACCCATGTAGCTGGCAATACCCTCGACCTCATTTTCTGTTATGTATGTACAGTGTCTAATATCTCCAACACTCCATTTACACTCTCTGACCAAGACCTGTTATCATTTGGTCTCAAGTACCCCCCTTGGTCTCAAGTAACAGATGCCCTGTTTGTTGGATCTATAATTTTGTTGCTATTCTGAACTTTTTGTTGCTATTTCTGAACTTCACCTAAACCGGCATATGAATTAAAACAAACAAACTGTACCCAGTTTGTTCGTATACCGAACATTTTACCGAACGTCGACCACCCAAGACAGTCGTGTGCCGTCAATTGACTTATTTGACACTGTGCCAAACCGCAACCCCAACGTTCTAAGTGGTTCACTAGGTGGCCGTCGATTCGTATGCATGAAACGCCTCGAACGGGTTTTGGTCGTCCAGTGTCTGGAACTATTTTCGGACACTCAATGGCCCGAACACCGCTGAGACTTCCAGGACCACATAGATTCGTGTTAATCTATCCAAAGGAGGTGGCATTCATTAGAAACAACATACGAATGTAGAGGCACACGACCATAACATGCACGAACGATTATGTGAACTATTGTTCGACATTTTACACTGCACGAAAGAGACCGGCCGCACCAGCTGAATTCATGGAACTATTCTGTGCAGGAGCCTCAGCCGGGTAGAAATGGGACTTCCATCTAACTTTCGAATCCCTGAACCGGTTTGGATGATTTTTAAATAAGTTGTTTCCCTAAATCTGTGCTATCAGAAAATGTTTTATGGAGTTCGGATATGATTTTAGGGTATTTCTGGAAATGTACAAAGATTTTAATTTTTTTTGTTTGGAGATCATTGATACAATAGTTAACTCAATTATCTCCCAAGCAGAGGGGAGGGATTGTGTGTCTCATTATATGACTGTTTAGTGGTTATTCACTGTGGCAACCTTTTTGGAAAACTTGAATAAAAGTCCAGTATGGCCCCATTAAAAATCATTTTGCTTAACCCTCAACACGTAGCCTTGTCTCGTGCTTGTAGGGAACCTGCTTCACAACTAATCACTAGCTCTTGTAAGAGCTCTGCTACCCATACGACTACCTGATCGGCTGAGATGACATCTGGAGAATACTGCAGCACAGCTCTTCCCAAGGGAAAAGGACGTCTCCAACGGCATACACCCCTGTGATACTCTGGGTGGCCGTTACACCCCCTCACCCAACAACCTAAGCCTAACCCCCCTCAACTCAGGAGGAACCTTAATTCTATTGACCTTCAGCAGCTGTCAGCTGATATTGATTCGCATCTCCTATCCATACCTTCCCTCTCCTGTCCCTCACTGGCCATCTCCACATATAACACTACCCTCACCTAAGCCTTGAACGCTGCAGGCCCGCTCTCAACATACACTCAAGGAGGACAAGCCCCCAACTATGGCATACTAAATTAATTCGCTACCTTAAAAGATGCTCCCATTGTGCTGAACACTCCTGGAGGAAATCTCGCACCCAGTCATACTTTCTCCATTATAGATTCTTATTTTGTTCATACGGCGCAGCCCTTTCCCTCGCCAAACAGCCATACTTTTTCTTTCTCGTTAGTTCATGCTCCCGCAAACCCAGGGGTCTCTTTGATACCTTTTTTTTAAAAATCCTTTTTATTAGGTTTTTGAATAAACATTTACAAATATTCACTAGAGTTGATAGAAAATATTGTATACAATACAATGGAACAGGTAACACATAAGTACACTTAGATAAACATTTCTCTTTTGTCCGATATCTTCCTCTTTTTCAATATATCTAATCCGTTAATTCACAGAAATAGTTACTATCAATTACACATCACATTTAGCTATATGCAATGCAAGACTCTTAGCATTTGTGCTTGCTTATCACAAGGCTGTCAGAGTCGGTTAAGTAATGTTTATCAGCTCCCATGTGCCAATGTTTTGAACAGGTTAAGTAGTGGTACCTGGTTGTCATTTGGACGCATCTACCTCATGTACAGGGTAAGGTCATGTATCCTATGGGTTCCTTCCGCCAACCTACTGGGTGGGCCGTGTTACCTATCTGCTCAGTCCTATAACTCAGATGTAGAGTAAGAAAAGTGATAAACCGTGCCAAAAGTGCTCAAAAGTGCAAAATAAATATGTTATACATACATATAAATCTTGGTCAATGGTAAAATCCTCAAGGGAAACAAGAAACAGTAGAATAATAGTGTAATATGCTATAGTTAATAAATGCAAATATACATAAAATTCAAGATAAAAGGCAATCTTACACTTTGCAGAGCTGCTAAGAGCTCTGCTGTATCACGCCTGGATGGTATAATCCCCGTTTTGGGATGTGTAAATGTTTTTAGTGTGGAATATCCAGACTCAGCAACCATATATAGGAGGAAAGACAAAATACAAGATCCAATGGTACAGTAAAAAGCCAAAATTGGAGTATTAAAATGTAAATATCCTACTTACAGTATCCTGAACAATGACTTGCTCTGGTGTTGGCAGCTTGTGGTGGTATAATCCCCACCAAAGGATATATCGATTTAACAGGAATCCAGCAGCACCAGCAGAAATGTGGAAACCAGAAGAGGATTGGATAAAAAAGCTTAACTTTATTACTAAAAAACAATATAAAATAAAATACAGCTTCCAGTCCTTCACTTGATGCGTTTCGCCCGGGTTTGGGCTTTATCAAAAGTGTACAAAGTTCAAGTGGACGCATCTACCTCATGTACAGGGTAAGGGCATGTATCCTATAGGTTCCCCCCGCCAACCTACCGGGTGGGCCATGTTACCTATCTGCTAAGTCATAGAACTCGCAACCTTGATTCATCTACTTGCCTAAATAATCCTTCTAGGCCTATGGAGGCATTCTAATTTGCACAGCCTCCCCTTCCAGAAAAGCATTCCACAGTCCCCAGGTGAATTGAAACAGTTGGTAATTATGTGCTGTAGCATAGGTAAGTTCCTCCATTTGTTGAATCCTTTCCACCCTGTTTATTCATTCCCTGAGAGATGGAGGATTTGCCTGTTTCCATTTTACTGGGATCAACTAGTTCGCTGCTATGAGCAGGTGTGAGATAGGAGACCCTGTGTGTTTCTTGCTATCTGTGAGAGGTAGGAGGAACAAAATATATTCCGGGGATGGAGGCACAATCACCCCAGTGATAAGTTTAATCAACGTGAGTATACGTTTGTTTCCAGAATGTACGTATTTGTGGGCATCCCCACCATGTATGTGAGGGATGGGCATCAGGGTACTGACATTGCCAGCAGGTGTGTTGCCTGGTTGAGTATAGCCTATGCAGTTTAGCAAGCGTGTAGTGCCACCGGGACTCTCGTAGTTACTTTCCTGTGTGGCTGTGCATATGGAGACTTTGTGTGTCCTCTGGAATATTTGTTTCCATTGGTTGGGGGTCAGAGTAATTTGTAGTTCGTTAACCCATTTCCCTGTATATGAGGGGAGATTCAGGGCTGTTGACCTGAGCAACAGCTTGTACATAGCTTGTACTTGTTTTTTGAGTGGGTGAGTAGAACACAACCTCTTAAAGTCTGTTAGGTCGCGTGACCCTAGTGGGAGAAGTTTCATGGTCTGAATGAAGTGTGACAGTTGTGCGTATTGAATATGTTGTGGGCCTGTAGGGGTGTGGGGTGAGGTGAGGTCGGTTAGGGGTCTTGATGAGTTTTTGTGTGTTACATCCCTAAGCTGGATCTGGGACTGGTTTCGGTCACTGTTTAGTAGTCTGCCCGAAGTCCCTGGTTGAAAGAGAGGATTGTGAGTGATCGGGTATAGTGGGGAGGGAAACTGGGATATGGCTGGATTCGCGAGCACCGACGTCCAGATTTTTAGCGTGGCCTCTATCGACGGATGATGTCTGTGTCACCACAACAGGGAAGGATTGATTTGTGCCAGGGAATAATCTGGATGGAGGCTACGAAAAACGAGGCTTCTATTTTCCGCCACTGTTGTGATGACAGGGCCTGTGTCCATTTGTAACTCTTTGACACCTTTAACTCTCTTATTCGCCTTGCTGTGGCCACCCCTCAAACTAACCTTACAGCCGAGAGCTTTGCATACTACTTTACCGACAAGATTGCACAGCTAAGGAAATAATCTCCCCACCCTGCCTTTCTCTTTCTCTTTCTCGTCCACATGTAGATCATGCCTTTCCTACCTTTCATACTTTCTATCTGGCTACTGAACAAGAGTTGGCTGTGCTTCACCTTTCCTCTCGCCCCACCACTTGCCCACTTGATCCTGTCCCATCTGACCTTATCAGATCTCTCTCCCCTTGTCTTGTGCCTTCCTTAACACACATCTTCAACTGCTCTCTCTCTTCTGGCGTTGTCCCTGCTAACCTTAAACATGCTACTGTAGTACCTATCCTGAAAAAACCTCCCTCAAGCCATCCACCCCCTCTAGCTATCGTCCCTTATCCCTGCTCCCTTTTTCCTCAAAGCTTCAGGAAAGACTTGTCTTTACTCGAATGTCTCACTTCCTTAATTCCAACTCTCTCATTAACCCTCTTCAATCTGGCTTCCGCCCCCTCCACTCTACTGAGACTGCTCTTATCAAAGTTACTAATGACCTAATCACAGCTAACTCCAAAGGCTACTATTCCATACTAATACTTCTTGACCTCTCTGCTGCCTTTGACACACTGTTGATCATGCTCTCCTTCTTCAAACTCTTCAATCACTCGGTCTATGTGACACTGTCCTCTCTTGGATTTCCTCCTTTCTCTCCCAATGCTCATTCAGAGTCTCCTTTTCTAATGATACCTCCTCTAATGAATATCCTGTCTCTGTTGGAGTCCCCCAAGGCTGTCTCCTTGGTCCCCTTCAATTTTCTCTTTATACTGCCTCTCTTGGCAAACTTATTACCTCATTTGGATTCCACTACCACCTGTACGTTGCTGACACCCAGCTATATCTCTCCTCCCCAGAGCTCTCCCCTGCTGTCCTGCAACGTGTCACTGCTTGCCTTTCTTCCATCTCTGACTGGATGTCCTCCCGCTTTCTAAAACTCAATCTCTCTAAAACTGAACTCCTTGTCTTTCATCCTCCTAATACTGATCCTGTTCTTTTGCTCTCCCTTCAAGTCAGTGGTATCCACATCAGTCCATCCTTGCAAGCGCGCTGTCTTGGTGTCATATTTGATTCTAGCCTCACCTTATAGCTTCACATCCAACATGTTACCAAATCCTATAGATTCCATCTTAAAAACATAGCCTGCATCCGCCCCTTTCTTACGCATGTTGGTGCCATAGAGCTTGTCCATGCTCTAGTAATTTCCCGCATGGATTATTGTAACCCTCTCCTAATTGGTCTTCCCAAAAACTGTATTGCCCTGCTACAGTCTGTAATGAATGCTGCCGCCAGACTGATTTTCCTCCCTAGTTGGTCCTCTCACACCTCACCCTTCTGTCAGTCCTTACATTGGAATCCTGTACCCTATAGGAGTCAATTCAAAATGCTAACCCATACCAATAAAGCATTGACCAATTCTAGCCCCTCTTATATCTCTTCACAGATCCATAGGTATGCCCCTTCTTGGTCTCTCTGCTCTGCCCGTGACCTTCTCCTGTCCACTACTTGCACCTGTACAGCCAACTCACGCTTGAAGTACTTCTCTTCCTATGGAACAGCCTGCCTACCGCCATCAGACTCTCCCCTAGTCTTCAGTCGTTTAAGAAGTGCCTTAAAACCCATCTTTTTAGGAATGCTTATGGCCTCCGAGAGTAACCTCTACCTCACATACCTGTCACTTTCTCTCTTGTGAAGTGCAGCAGTCTACTCTCTCCTCCAGCTCTGCTTCACTCCCATCTATTTTAATTGCTATTCCCTGTCCTATTGTGTTTTTCACCCCACCTCCTATAGACTGTAAGCTCGTTTGAGCAGGGTCCTCTTCATCCTATCGTTCCTGTATGTTTTCTTGTAATTGTCCTATTTATAGATAAATCCCCCCTCTTATAATATTGCAAAGTGCTACGGAATCTGTTGGCTCTATTAAAATGGCAATATTAATAATAATTTAGCAAAAAATGGTAAGTCTTGCAAAGTGAAAAGTTACTTTTTTAACAATCTTTCAAAGTCATTCAATTAGTCCAAAGTTCTGGTGTATTTCCAAAAATTCCAGTAGATCTCTGTATGTAAGACAAAAGGAAATTGAAAAATATGGTTAAAAATGGTTCTTTTTATTAGAACATTATTGATATTTAATACCGTGCTTAAAAACAGTCGTTTGAATGCAGACCTTATTCAATGTGCTCAACATTCCGAGTATTCGTCAGTTATATCTGCTCCAATTCCGACTTTGCCGATGTCTCGTGTGGGCTGGATGCCAATGGTGGGAGTCAAGCTGAGATCTTACCATTGACTTATAAAGAGCTTAAATTATATTTCTGTCCTGTAAATCAATATGCTTGGCAATACCTTATTGGTCTTGGCATCTGCAGACTGACATTGCACATTGATTGGGTTTTACTATTTAACACAGGAGATGGTGGTATGTTGCCACCATCTACTGACTTTTTTCAGAATTACACTTAGTGTAATTATGAATGGACCTTTTCCTACCTGATTGTATAGAGATTGGTTCTGTGCATCTGGTAAAGCCCAGTATTGGGCCCAATTAGCTGGGGGAATACCCTGGAGGGTCTTTCCAAAGCTGCCTGCACCACAGAAAATAGAATAGAACAGAATAGAGAATTTTACACTATTTTATAAATTATTTCTTCATTTCCTAATTTTTGAGTGTTCTATTTTCTTGAAGGTTTTTCCCCTTATAGGTGTTGCCTGGATGGTCATTGAGAGATTTCTTAGTTTAGGGTACCTCTTTCATTCTGTTTTGGGTCTTTCTCAAATGAGATAGGCCTAAAGAAACTAAAACCAAAGAACAAAATGAACAAATCACAGCTCAATATATTTCTCTTAATCGTTGATGTTGCAGTCACGTGGTACCCAGGTGATCGCATAAATGCCCGAACAAAAAACACAATAAAAAATAAAAATTTACTGACATATAATATTGTTGAGGACAAAGTAATCCCAAGATACTTAACAGTCTCTCCACATACCTAATAGAGCAGCCACATGGACAACTCAAAATACGTGACCACAACACAACCGAATATGGGTAATGCTGACAAAATATCCTCATAGGGAAAAAAGAGGAACAAAACCATGGAGAAACAATATAAAAAGGTAATAAAACCATAAAGTCCATTACAAAAAGCCAATCACGTGGACATGATGGCAATATGATGATTGGCCTCAATTTAAACATTTTGGTTAAGCATTTTAAATAATTTAATATTTATTAATGATAATTTAAAAGGATTTTTACAAAATATAAACAAAAAAAATCACATACAAATTTAAATATTTTTCAAAATATGTAATCATTTTATTTAGGGGAGACAACTTTTTGCATTACTTGTTAATATACAGCTATATAGATTTGTATGTGCACCTTCTGCACTTGTGCACCAAGGTAGTCATAGGGATTTCTTTAGGGATGTAGCTATTCCCTGGTATACCCTTAAGAGTAGTGGGGTTTCCCACCTATAGGTATCTGTAGGTGAATATAGCTTACGTTCATATTAGTATGTTTTTCCACCTCAGATAAGTACATTGCTAATTTAGATTAAAGACTAGTATAAGAACCTGGGTTTCTGTTATTTCAGTTCATACCAGTTGCCTATACTGGTCTTCCTTCTAACAAATAGGTCACATTTAGGAGGTTTGTTGTGAGCATTTAGGTAGGTTTTTATTATTATTGCCATTTATATAGCACCAACAGATTCCGTAGCGCTTTACAATATCATGAGAGGGGGGATTTAGCTATAAATAGGACAATTACAAGAAAACTTACAGGAACGATAGGTAGAAGAGGACCCTGCTCAAACGAACTTACAGTCTATAGGAGGTGGGCTATAAAACAAATTAGGACAGGAAATATCAATCAAATAAGGTGGGAGTGAAGCAGAGTTGGAGGAGAGAGTAGAGTGCTGCCCTTTAGGAGAGAGCATGAGACAGGTATGTAAGGTATGTAAGGTTGAGGTTACTCTGGGAGGCAATAAGCTTTCCTAAAAAGATGGGTTTTAAGGCACTTCTTAAATGATTGAAGACTAGGGGAGAGTCTGATGGCGGTAGGCAGGCTGTTCTAGGAAGGGAACTGCCCGCGAGAAGTCCTGCAAGCATGAGTTGGCCGTACGGGTGCGAGCAGCGGTCAGGAGAAGGTCACGGGCAGAGCGGAGAGACCAAGAAGGGGCATACGTATGGATCTGTAAAGAGATATAAGAGGGGCTAGAATTGTTCAGTGCTTTATGGGTATGGGTTAGCACTTTGAATTGACTGCTATAGGATACAGGAAGCCAATGTAAGGACTGACAGAGGGGTGAGGTATGAGAGGACCGACTAGAGAGGAAAATCAGTCTGGTGGCAACGTTCATTACAGACTGTAGCGGGGCAATACGGCTTTTGGGAAGACCAATCAGGAGAGGGTTAGAATAATCCATGCGGGAAATTACTAGAGCATGGATAAGAGTGCTGCTAATGGATATCTTGGCTGCATAAAGTCTGCCTGAATACCACAGTCGTGAAGATAGAGAAGAGGCCAATATCCTTGGTAAGAGACAGCTTCTCGTATTTAAAAGCCTGAGTTTAAGTCCACAAAGACACTTGTTCCCATCAAGGCATGTGGCATTCATTTCTGTTATCTGTGCAATTTAGCACATAAGCAGACTTCTTTCAGAGTGTGGAAGGTAATATATTGTTTTGATTTTCTTGCTTATCTAAATCAACATATGAGACCAAGATAGCCTCTCTATATGAACTGGTGTAAAGACACCTCAGTATATGCCTAGCCTCCATAAAGCTTAGCGGTCAGGCAAGTAATGCCGATATACAGTATCTCACAAACGTGAGTACACCCCTCACATTTTTGTAAATATTTTATTATATCTTTTCATGTGACAGCACTGAAGAAATGACACTCTACTACAATGTAAAGTTGTAAGTGTAGAGCCTGTATAACAGTGTAAATTTGCTGTCCCCTCAAAATAACTCAACACACAGCCATTAATGTCAAAACCGTTGGCAACAAAAGTGAGTACACCCCTAAGTGGAAATGTCCAAATTGGGCCCAATTAGACATTTTTCCTCCCAGGTGTCATGTGACTCGTTAGTGTTACAAAGTCGCAGGTGTGAATGGGGAGCAGGTGTGTTAAATTGGGTGTTATCACTCTCACACTTCCTCATACTGGTCACTGGAAGTTCAACATGGCACCTCATGTCAAACAACTCTGAGGATCTGAAAAAAATAATTGTTGCCCCAAATAAAGATGGCCTAGGCTACAAGAAGATTTCCAAGACCCTGAAACTGAGCTGCAGCATGGTGGGTAAGACCATACAGTGGTTTCACAGGACAGGTTTCATTCAGAACAGGCTTCGCCATGGTCGACCAAAGAAGTTGAGTGCACGTGCTCAGCGTCATATCCAGAGGTTGTCTTTGGGAAATAGATGTAGGAGTGTTGCCAGCATTGCTGCAGAGGTTGAAGGGGTGGGGGGTCAGCCTGTCAGTGCTCAGACCATACGCCGCACACTGCATCAAATTGGTCTGCATGGCTGTCGTCCCAGAAGGAAGCCTCTTCTAAAGATGCACAAGAAAGCCCGCAAAAAGTTTGCTGAAGAAAAGCAGACTACGGACATGTATTACTGGGACCATGTCCTGCAGTCCAACGAGACCAAGATAAACCCATTTGGTTCAGATGGTGTCAAGCCTGTGTTGCGGCAACCAGGTGAGGAATACAAAGACAAGTGTGTCTTGCCTACAGTCAAGCAAGGTGTTGGGAGTGTCATGGTCTGGGCCTGCATGAGTGCTGCCAGCAGTGGGGAGCTACAGTTCATTGAGGGAATAACGACTCCAAACACACCTCCAAGACAACCACGGCCTTGCTAAAGAAGCTGAAGGTAAAGAGGATGGACTGGCCAAGCAAGTCTCCAGACCTAAACCCTATTGAGCATCTGTGGTGCTTCCTCAACGTAAGGTGGGAGAGTGCAAGGTCTCTAACATCCACCAGCTCCGTGATATTGTTATGGAGGAGTGGAAGAGAATTCCAGTGGCAACCTGTGAAGCTCTGGTGAACTCCATGCCCGTGAGGGTTAAGACAGTGCTGGAAAATAATGGTGGCCACACAAAATATTGACACTTTAGTCTCAATTGAGAGATTTCCACTTAGGGGTGTACTCACTTTTGTTCTAACGGTTTAGACTTTTTTTATTCAATTTTAATTCATATTTCCAAGTTACAATACAGGACATAATTATCGCCAATTACTTATGATCACCTATGTTGTATATCGCGTGACAATATTATCCATATTTTGCCAGGCAACAAAAACAAAAACAGAATAAATATATAAAAAATAAAATAACATACACAAATGAATCAGTAATTCAATACAGATTGTATAGGTTGCAACAGCCTGTTTCTCCTAAATTAAATCCAAATTAATTATATTTTATTGTATGTGGAGAGAGAATTCTTAAATTTAAAACATTTTACAGTTGGGGGGAGGGGCCTGAGTGCCATGGCGGAGAATCGCATCTGACTTGAGCTCCTCGCATAATCGGGAAATATAAACCGTCCATTAAGTTGACAATCAACTCACCAAACGACTCACATACATCCTGCATGGACTGCAGCATACTATGGAGGCCGGAGATGAGACCGAAGCTCCCCGGCAACAAAGCCTGACTCATGTGGCCCAGAACACGACGGATGGGAGAGGCCGTCGATCTCCCAGACCGGAGCTGTTCGACAGCCCTAACCACTCTGCAAGCGCCCCTCAAGACTTCTCCCCCCACCCCAGGAACGGCGGGGTTGATCCCGGTCCACCTCAGGGAGGCCCACCAGACATACTGGGCACAGGGGGTGAAGCCACAGAGTCTGTGGGGACGTCCAGTGAACCACCAAGCATGGCTGACGCCATGTGGCACCCAAACTCAGCAGAAAAGCAAACCAACCTCATGACCAGACTCAACAGAATCTTCAATCAATTCTGGCGGACACTGGAAAATAAGATGCTTCATACTACCCCAGAACAGACGAAGGCTCACTCACCCTCACAGCAAACCGCCTGCCCGCAGCAGACACCCACAGCCTTGGCAAAGGGCCCAAAATGGCTGTGACACAATATGCCCTCATCCCGTCATCAAAAGCCGGCACACAAATGGGAAACACTCTGAATCAAGCGCGCGACTCCTCAAGTGCACAAGAAAAGTATGCGACTTACAACAGGGCAGAAGAATGAGACTCCGAACTGGAAAGCATCAGTCCTGCACATCAAGAATACCAGCCCGCCTTCACTGGGCCCTAAGACATTGCGGTGGTGGATTTATACGCTCCCCTCAGCGGGCATCAGATGAACTGAGCCTCTGGACTGGGCACTGTGGGACATACTCACCTTTCCTCTCCCCATGGTTTCAGCTGACACAGCTCTGTACTATCGGTCACTATTACACTGACACTGTAAATACTGGCCTTACACACTACAATACCCCACACACATGGGGACCTCCAAGGGTTCTCAAGCTAACAGGATAAGCGTCCAGATTTCGTCTTACTTCAACCTTTTCACCCTGCTAGGCTTAAAGGAACACTATAGTCAACTAAATTACTTTAGCTAAATAAAGCCGTTTTAGTGTATGGATCATTTCCCTGCAATTTCACTGCCATTTAGGAGTTAAATCACTTTGTTTCTGTTTATGCAGCCCTAGCCACACCTCCCCTGGCTATGATTGACAGAGCCTTTTGGTTGTATATACACTGTTGGGACTTCAGTGTGGAGTATCTGCAGCACAGGTCTAATTTTTTATTTGTTTATATTTTGAATTTTGTAGGCATTTTTTTGCCTCTACCACACCCTTTATATAGTGTCTATTGTAGGAACATCAATTTGCTTCCAGTAAATTGGGATTAATGCGTTAGCTTCCCCTAACAGTAGCCACAATAATTTTTGTTTATTTACGGCCAAAAACAGCCAACCAAGAAGCACCTGTGAAGGTGTCCGTCAAAACGTAAAAGAAAGTAACTCTGTAATTATGCTCATAAGTTGTGCCCGGAAAGACTGTATTTTTTTACAAAACCACAATGTGTGCTCAATATCACCCTTTTCCTCCCCACATCTCCAACACTGATCACTATGTGACAGAATAAAATTATGAATATTTACAGGTGTTCTATACCACCTTGTTATACGTTTATAGAAGGTCTCTCTTCTTGCCATACTTATTGAGGCTTCAATTGTTTTGCAAAAAATAATTTACCAATCTTTCTCTAATAATTGTAGATGTAACGTACTCATCCACTTCCTCTGAAAAGTTGCCATTTCTCCTCCATTTATTTTCTGAATTAGATAATATATAAGACATTAATGGCTGTGTGGAGTTATTTTGAGGGGACAGCAATTTACACAGTTATACAGGATATACACTTACTACTTTTGTAGCAGAGTGTAATTTCTTCAATGTTGTCACATGAAAAGATATAAAATATTTACACAACTGTGAGGGGTGTACTCACTTTTGTGAGATTCTGTATGTTCAAATAACCCTCGTTTTTTTTATTTTTATATATTCTGGTACTCCAGTGAAGGGTTTCCATACATATATGCCTTTTATTATATAAATACCTATTGCTCTTTGAGTGGACGATGTAATTTTGGTACCAATTTTAATCTATCCCATCCCTATATAAACCCTATCTAACCAAGTTGTGTGTTTTTATTCCATTTGAAAAAGCCATACTGGTGAAATGAGTTATAAATTTTATTGTTTTGTATTTTAACTAATAAGAGATTTTTGGTCACGCATTTGCATACCTTGCCAATTACCTTTTTATTCAATTTTTATTGATATATACTTCCTGGCATCCAAAAATATCACACCCTCTACTCCAAAGAATCCTAGGTGGGGATCATACCACCAACCCTGATATAGTGCAGAGAGGCTGCTCTTTGCACCTCGATGAGGACACTCACATCATATCCTACAAGTGGGGATTGTACCACTGTACGCATCATATGCTAGAGCTGGCTGTCCAAACGCACCCTACTTCAAGAGTGTGCGTAACGTAGTTGTGGTGGTGAAAGGGTTAAAGTTCACTATTTGTTTGCACTAAACCGGAAAGAATGACAAAACCCTCCTTAACACAACCCACACTTAAGCATAAAAATATAACTATTACTATTTTAACACTGCCACCACCAAGACAATTTATAAATGGGGTGCCTTGGTTCCCCAGGTAAATCAATAATAAAAACCCAGCAAATATAACTTAGCACAATATCTATGTAATTGCAAAATACTACGCTAGTCTCTTCAGGTAACGTGATCCTTTACCAGACAAAGGCAGAACTTAATAGATGAATGTTTATTATGAGCAAAAGATAGTCGCAGTGCATACAAAAATATAGATGAAAAACAAACGATTTACATCAACAGATAAAAACAAAAGGGATAAAAAATAAGAGAAAGTCCTAATCACTTACTCAGCTCTTCAAAGTAAAAACACGTCTGCCGCAGGTGGTCTCTACTAGGAAAGATGGTGACTCACTTAGATCTAGATTCTGGCCCCAGGCAAGTACAAATGCACCCTTCAGGATCATTAGTTATATACCCTGTGGCAGTGGCGTACATACCGGGCCCCACCAAGAGCTGCGCGCGCATTCAGCCGGTCACATAGGAAAGCATTCATAATGCTTTCCTAGAAGCACGCAAGCGCCTCTAGCGGCTGTCAATGAGACAGCCGCTAGAGGAAATAGGGGAAGGCTTAACCCATTCATAAACATAGCAGTCTCTGAAACTGCTATGTTTATGAAAAAATGGGTTAACCCTAGCTGGACCTGGCACCCAGACCACTTCATTAAGCTGAAGTGGTCTGGGTGCCTAGAGTGGTCCTTTAAGTGTGTGTGCATCTGCATGCACTGGCATACATACCGCGGTCGCAGGGGTCGCAGCCCTGTAACCCCTGCGACCAGGTGCCCACCGCCATGTGTTGCGGCCCGCGCGGGGGGGGGACCCACGGATCAATTTTTGCACCGGGGCCCCATGGGTCATGTGTACGCCACTGCCCTGTGGATTACCATACATCACCCAGAGGTGGAGTTAAAGGACCACTATAGTGCCAGGAAAACATACTCGTTTTCCTGGCACTATAGTGCCCTGAGGGTGCCCCATCCTCAGGGACCCCCTCCTGCCCAGCTCTGGAAGGGGGAAAGGGGTAAAAACTTACCTTTTTCCAGTGCTGGGCGGAGAGCTCTCCTCCTCCTCTCCGCCTCCGTTCCGCCCCGCCGGCTGAATGCACACGCGCGGCAAGAGCTGCGCGCGCATTCAGCCGGTCTCATAGGAAAGCATTTACAATGCTTTCCTATGGACGCTGGCGTGCTCTCACTGTGAATTTTCACAGTGAGAAGCACGCAAGCGCCTCTAGTGGCTGTCAATGAGACAGCCACTAGAGGATTAGGGGGAAGGCTTAACCCATTCATAATTATAGCAGTTTCTCTGAAACTGCTATAATTATGAAAAAATGGGTTAACCCTAGAAGGACCTGGCACCCAGACCACTTCATTAAGCTGAAGTGGTCTGGGTGCCTAGAGTGGTCCTTTAAGGTATATCTATAGAGACCTTAAGTGACCACCCCTTTGTGTCCAGATTCACATCAATCCAAATGGAAACATTTGGCTCTATCTTCTCTTATGTACTTGCCACAGAAATAATAATTGCATCTACAAATGTGTTATTGTTTTCCCATTCTATAGATATTCACACACCATACTTGCGACCCAGTATGACGGACATCACAATTCCTTCCCCTATGGGGAAGTTATGCCAATCATGTTTGGGCTTGTTTAGAAGAGGGCTCTTGTCACATTCGAAATACAACAAAAATGAGGCTTAATTATTATTCTGTAGGTAAATATTAATGTTTTTTTTCCTTTGGATATGATACTGGAACAAGGCTAATGCCCATTAACATATCAAAGAAACCCACTCATCAATTAAAAGGTACATGCCATATGCCTGAAGCCAGACCTTCAGTGTAAAATCTGGTTTGGATATCGATCACTGTTAAATCTTCTTAATTTCTTCTTGTCTTCAGTTGATTGATATATATATACGTCTTTTATATATATAGTCTTGGGCCAAATGGTCGCCTCAAGAAGAAATTAAGAAGATTTAACAGTGATCGATATCCAAACCAGATTTTACATTGGCCAGCCAGCCAGTCTTCTATTCAAGTTTTGTTTCCACTTCAAGGGGGGAGAGAGAAGAATCGAGTTACAAAGCTGTTTTGGAACTGGGAAAACAAACTTGAAGAGAAAAAAAGAATCTACACTGTCGCAGAAGAACTGTGGTTTGTATGAAAAAGAAAGTTTTCAAATCACAAAGACTGTACAAGACTATTTTCTACAACTGAGACAAAAAGCACAAGATACATCGTGAATTCTAGAAGCAAGCACCTTGCAGAGATTGGCAAGCATCCAGATTCAAGCCCAGAACTGCGCAGCTGTGTGGATGAAGCAACGAAATAGACAGAAATAACTGATCTGGTGAGTAACATGGAATTCATAAATGATATTGCAGAGAAAAGTAAATTGCAGTTTGCATTTAATAGCAGCTATTCAGATGCTGTTTTGTGGCAATCTTTATACACACAATGTGAAATTGCCAATAGTGAAATTGCCAAGAAATTATTTGTTAATAAGAAAAAAGAAAAGATCAGAAATGTTATGAAACTAGTCTGTACTTACAATGCATTGATTTGTAAACGAGATGCAGGTCAAGACAATTTAGAATCAGCAGATAAAGAAATAGATTTGAATGGGTTAACAGAAGACAAATCAGATTTAAATGAACAGTGTAACAAAGTAACACAGGGTACATGCTGTAATTGTGAGAGATTGTCAGAAAAAGTCTGTGAACTAGAGGATAGAGTTGAATTAAGAAATCATCTTATTTGCCAGCTTAGAAATGAAGTAAAGCAAGTGTGTGTGTGAATACAAAAAAAAATACAGGCACAGAATCTAATCCCAGAGCCAATAGATACTGAAAATGTATCCTCACAGAGTGATTTGCAGAAATGTAAATTTCAAGACAGAGCTGCAAAACTTAATTTGAAAATCCATGAACAATTAATGAAAATTGTGAAATGTATTCCAGTTTATGACACGTCAGTGGATGCATTTACTAATGCTGAAATGTTTGAGTCAACTTTGGACAAATACAGCCTTAATGACGAACAAAGGAATAGACTATTTAAAATATGGCTGCCGACTCAAATGGCATGTAGACTGACCGCGCCTGTAAAATGTGAGGACAATGATAAAATAATATATGGAAATAAGCAAGACAGATTAACACAATTAATAAAATTAACAACAGGGAATGATTTTGCAGACATTGAAATGTTGGAAAAACTAAAACCACACATTGAAGAGGATATTTTTAGTTTTCTTGTAAAATTTGAAAATGCATATAGACTTGTTGCTGATTTTCCTGAGGATCGGTTAATTAATGACGTTTGAATGACGTTGCTTTATTCTTAGATAACTTAAAGAGGGTAACCAATAATGAAGAGGTTAAAATGACTTGTGGAATTAGGCAGAGAAAGAAGTGCAGATTTGACACCCCTCGTCCCCCTCCTCCTTCTTCTAGGACAGAGTGTGAAAGAGTGATACAGACAGCTGAGCCCCTCCCAATTTGCTCAACTAAAAACTGCGGAGTTAACAACCAAAGGCAGAATATAACTCCTAAAGTTATTTGTTTTTGGTGCAATAAACAACATTATTTAAGATCTTGCAGATATTTTATCCGAGATATCAAATCAAAAGCAAATGAGAAATTAAATTTGTTGATTGAACATTTTGACAGAGAAAATACATGTGGAGATAAATCAATAAAGGCCTTTCCTTGTAAACTGATAATCAGACAAATAAAAGCAAATTTAGCTAAATCGAAATTAGGAGACAGACAAGCAATGCAGTGTAACACAGAAAGTTATAAGAATCAGAGAACTTTAAGAGATATGATCAGTTTAGGGAATGAGCATGGATATGTGTGCCAACAGAGGTACAAAGGCTGATTCCAGAATTAAGAACAGCACACAAGAATAGAGATCTATGTTAGTTTGTTTTAATGAATTGTTAGTCTGAACTTTTTTTTTTATTGTTTTTATGTGTGTTATAAGAAAGTATTAGGTTAACTAATTAAAATAAAAATACACATCAAGTTTGCAAATATGGCAGAATGAAATACACTAATATAGCAGTTAGGAACATGCAATGTATGTTATATTGGGTATATGCGATTATACAGTAATTCCAATATTTTTACAGAAGGAAAAAACAATGGATATATTCCTTGTTGCTTCTGAGGTTGATTTAAAATCTTTGATTTAATCTATGAGAATGAGATTTTAATGTCATGACTGATAATGGATTACTATATTTTGCAAAGCCTGGACATACATATGTTTTGACTATATAGAAGACAAAAGTTTTGATAGAATAAAACCTAGATTTACAAATGCATTTGATGTAGGAAACAATATATGTTTTTTGTAGTTTGTTTCATGTGACAAAATGGTGCCAGTGTTAAGACAAAATGGCTACTATAGCTAAAGTATAGAGGAAAACAATATTTTGTTGCAGCATCTGACATGTGATTAGGTTACACCTCCAGATTATTAAACAGTTTAAAAGGGGGGTATGATTAATAAAAAGTTTGGAAATTTAAAATGTTCAGAAAGATTTTAATATAAAGGAAATTTAAAGATTATACATCACATGGCATAAATGCAATGACCACTAGATGGTAGATCTCATGAGAAGAAATTAGTATGTTTTGTGTAGTCAATATAATTCAATGTTAAACTGTATAATTATAATGATATATAAACATTGTAAGCCATTGATGCTGCACATGTTTTTTGTTTTAATGTAGGTTAAGCGTGACAGATCCTTGTGGCAATAAATCAGGAAAGCATTCCTTCAGACAACTGGACATCAACTGTTGGAAAGAGACTTTTCATCTGATCTGCAAACTTTGATGGAAGATTCTACAGAGTTCATTCGATACAGAAGATTAACAGACTTACAAAGAAATAAAAGATTGACACTAACATACATATCAATTTCTAAATATTAACAAAGAAAACAGACAATGAAAAGTTATTGAACAGTTATGAGTATTAATACCAAAAGAGTATTTATAAATGTGTAACACATGGAGTACAATTACGAAAGGATAGCATTATGAAGAGAACTATTACATTATGACCTATACATAGGATGAGAAGTATCAGATAAAATATGAAGTTGATAAAATAAGGATCATGGTTACTTAATACTACAAAGATTGAGTGCAATAGTATTTCGAATAAATATTTTGTTTATAATCGAGGTGAAGTAAAACAAACAATGGTAACATAAGGAAGAAAACTAGGGAAGGATAATTTATATTGATTAATATTAAGTAATTATATACATTAAGAATGCCTTGGATATAAGAGTTCAGAGTTCCAAGAGGAATTGAATTGAAGTTTAGTTAAGAGTATAGTACCCAATTATATTTGACCTAAGTCTATAAAGGTATGGACTAGAGAGAATAGGTTTCTGGATATGATGGTCTCCAATGAATACGTTGTTAAGTTGTTTTATGATTACCCTGAGTTTGTTAGACACAGACTATGAATAAGTTTCTGGGCAGTATGACCCCAAGTTTTGTTTATTTTATTTTAATTTATTTTAGTCAGTTGAAGTGTACTAAGGAATACGGATTGGTCAGAACATTAGGACAATCCTGCTTTTAAGATGTATTACATTAATAAGTCATCACAATGCTAATGAAGAGAGTGATGCTAATTAATTTATATTATTCTTTACAAGTTATTTTAAAGTAAACTATGTTTCTATTGAATGAAAAGTTTGTTACTACAAGGTAGAATAGTAGTCAAAATTATAATTATGTAAACAATAACAAATCTATGATAGAAAGATTTCTGGGTGGAGAATTTCTACAACAATAAGTATTGTCAACACCATGAACATTATTTGAAGAATTATACAACTTTATGGTTGATAACAACACAACCTTTGAAGGTTTGCAAACTATTATGAGTCTTATAAGTAGTGTTGATATATTTCAGTTAGTGAGAGCCTACTGAATATACAAATTAAATACTATGATTGTAAAGTACTGATACAATTATCACTAGGTGGTATTAATGGCATAGAAATGTAATTCATGAATACAAATGACAAAGATTTTAAGGTTGCTAGAAACCATATGATTCATGGAAATATAATTGGATGGGACATACAAGCAATACATGTATTAGTACTTAAGTAATATCAGGTATTGAGAATGAAAATACTATACTATATATGTCTGTAGAAATATGATAGTGATACACAGTTATTATCTAGAAAGTTATCATCTTGATTTTGTGGTCTACAAAGACATGACTGTACCTGAGCAGGTTGATCTTTCTCATTGCTTTACATTCAGGCTTTCAAGTGTAGAATCTCACACCTTGCAGGGCCTTTGATTAACCACAGGATGTCTTTCCCTTTTCACATTCCTATGCAATTTTACATTACCTCTTCTGCCATCTGCCCTCTGTGGGGGGGTCCCAGGTTCAAAAGACGTGACACCTTTTGACCTCTATCCAATCAAATTAACCCCTTTTGACACGGACAATGCCATCTCTGCCAGGCTGACAGGTCCTTAATGCACTACACAAATTACTTTAAAGGACAATATTCCATAGTGCAATAATAAATTATGCACCCTTGCCGTGACACTGGCTATAGCTCTAATAAATGTGAGTGTAATACCGCTATTCTACTATATCTACTGTATTGGATTTGACATATGAAACTATTAGCTTTTCCTGTCTCTTATACTTTTTGTACATACATACATACATACATATATATATATATATATATATATATATATATATATATATATATATATGGGTGGATGCAGTGACTTTGTTAGTGAAGTGCATGTAGTGTGTGTTTGTGGTGAGAAGTAAATTTGTGGGGGTGAGCAGTTTTTTTTTTATTTTAACTTATTCCCTCCTCCCTGCAGTTATTCCCCCTCCCAGCACTTACTTATTCCCCTCCCCTGCACTTATTCCCCCCTCCCTGCACTTACTTATTCCCCTCCCCTGCACTTATTCCCTCCTCCCTGCACCTATTCCCTTCTCCCTGCACCTATTCCCTCCTCCCTGAACTTAATCCCCCATCCCTGCCTCTTACCTGAGGGCAGGGAGGTGGGATACAGGATTCCTAGATGGTCCAGTGTAGCTGGAGTACAAAGAAGAGAGAGCCCTGAGAGACAAAGAAGAGAGAGCCCTGAGAGTGAGCTTACATCCCCAGCAGTACTCTTCTCCTGCAAGCCGCAAGAGCATTACCACAGGTTCAAAATATTGTGGGGTAGAGCTGATTTGCTTCCGGTGAACACTAAACAAGGAGACCAGGTAGGGTGAGCAGTATGACATTAATAGCATATACTTACCATAAGCATAAGAGCTTATTATTACCAGATACTAGAAGGAGGGATTAATTTGTAATTTCCCCACTGCTTCAGTAGGAAACATAACAGTACAACATGAAGGAACTCGAGTGTGTTGTGTTAGTGCCCAGCTGCAAGGAAAATAAAATAATTAGTGCCCCATTATATACCAGCTATGACTGCCACTATATCCTACTTTATATTTGCTGCTGACATCTCCCTTAAATATTCCTAAATGCTCAGGCTGAGTACTTTCCCTTGTGCCTGCCCCAGGTCCGCAACTGAACAAACACATGGACATACATAGACTGCTCAAACATTAGAGGGGTAAGAAAAACAAAACAAAAAGGTAATCGTAACAACTATATTTTTCAAAGGTTGTATAAAATTCACTAAATAAGTCCATGGCAGGTCCACTTTAAAAGACTTTATTGTTTCAACTTGAACTATTTTTATAAAAGAGAAAAGTTAGATTTTTTTTTTTTTAAAGCCACAGTTACAGACCATTTATTTAAAAAAAATAATATATATATATATATATATATATATATATATATATTGTGTAGAGAAGTCTGAAATTTTATAGCTGTTAATATTAGAATATTAATTTGCTATGATCTGTAGGTACTAATTATAGCTTTACTCTGAATTATTTAATTTCTGTGTTCACGGTCACTATTTCAGGGCCTCCATTGTTATAGGGTCAGTCACCACGATGCATGAAAATCTAATTCTCTACAACGTCTTCTTTGTTGTCCGTTGTCTCAGTGTACAAATCACTCCATCAAGGGGTCGGAGAGTTCCGTTGTCTAGTATCTTAAAACTCTGTCCTTCCACCAGCTTGAACTCAAATCTTTGCAAGAGTTTAGCCATCACCACTTTCGCTTCCATCTATTTGAAATAGAAAAACTACATGTATGGCTGAATTTCAAACATTGAAAATAACATGAAAGTGACATATCTCTTTACAGGTTGGATGTGAGCACCTTTTTCAAACCATTGAACTGCTTTTGTGTGCTTTAAAATTACAACGTCCAATAGGACCAGGAAACTTCTGAGATTTTACAGCCATTCCTGGTCCTCAATGCTTTTAAGACATAAATACGATTTTGCCAGGTTCTACTGAATAATAACATTTAAACCACAGGACAAATAAAATTTACCTTTTCTGGTTAGAAATTCGTTATTACCATTATTATTTGCAGTTTATGGATAGTTTAATTTATGAAAAGGCAATTATGAAACTACTACGCATATTAAATTAACCCCTTAAGGACCAAACTTCTGGAATAAAAGGTAATCATGACATGTCACACATGTCATGTGTCCTTAAGGGGTTAAACAGTTGAGCTTCTGTTACCATGTGGAATAATTCATTCCTGTGATTTCATGAATGAAGCTATCCACAGTTGCATATGAGCATGTTTGCTGTTCAGTCTGTCTCTTAAAAAAATAAATAATAATAACTAAACTTGTGCAAGTTTCTAAGGAGCTGAGCTAAGTACAAGCTCTTGTATACGCTCAGGAAATGCATGCTTGCAAGTCACTGCAACTCTAATGAGGGGAGACATATCTGCACTACACCTTATAAATTATAAACTATAATTTATAAAAGGAACATAAGTGGTTATGATGCTTGGAGTGCCCCTTAACTGTGCACAAATGTAATTAAAAATATACATGTACATTTTACCCCTTTTCCCCCGTCTGTGACACTATGGCAGTTTTGCTTATCCCTAGTGAAGGAAGATAAAATACCTTGAAACAGAAAAAGTGAAGAAACAAAAGACACTACACCATGTAATATGTAGAGTACAATAATAAAGTCATGAGGTCTAGTAGTACTGTACATTTCATCCTGTAAAGAAATCCCTACACATAGATGCAGTACTCTAATGAGTGTGTGTATACAAATAGACACAATCTACACTATTGGGTCGTGAACATGTATTCCTGTTGAAAAAAAAAAACAATTTCTATTTTCAAGAGCCGCATCAAAAGCATTGGGAGGCTTTTGCGCATGTGCGGCATTATTTAATTTAAAGCCCCCACCCAATGCACAGGATGGGGCCATTGTTACCAACTGTCACTAGTTTTAATAACACCAAGCATGTTATCTGTTTGGTAGACATGCCCACACTGACGGGCATGCAATATGTGGGGGAACAAGGGAGGTTTTATGCCTCCCTTCTACTAAGATGGGTGTCATATTTACCTATTTTATCTGGCCAAAGACCAGATGATTAACATTCGGTTAAGCTGAATCACTTCTCACAACCAAATTTCAGAGCTGAGCCATCACATTGCCGAGCATTGCCAGACACCCCCCCCCAAAAAAAGTTCCACTTTGGAAAATTGTGACCAATCATGTTGTGCACAACAAAGCTATTTGCTGACACTATCTTAGTGACACAATAAATCTGTGCAAAGGCACGTGCCGAAGCTTTCATTTCTATTTAGACTGTTGAGAAGTGCAAGGACCACACTTCTAAACCATAGTTTACACTATGTAAATTTGTGGTTATATTGTTACATGCACCATAAACATTTCTAAATATTACACTAATGGGACATTTTCTCAGTCTCTCCAGTTCTCTTCCTTCTAATTTTTGGAGTCCTGTAGTCTTAAATTATTTCTGTAAGTTTTTTTCCACTTTTAAGAAATCATTTGGTCAGCAAGTAAAGCTGTGTTTAACAGATCGTGATGGAACAAAAACATTAATTAACTTCAGTCCGTTCCCACGCAAGTCTCAAGGAGGGCCAATACAGAGGAGACTTATAGCCTTTGCATATCAGCCTAATCTCACCGACAATAGCAGTCCAGAATCAAAAAACAGCAAGGCTCCTCTGCACAAGAGATACAACAACCCCTGATGTTCATTTTGGCTTTCTTTGGGCTTAGTCAGTGAGGTGTAGCTACTACCCCTCTAGACAGAGCAAGGGACAGCACGTCTAGATTTAAACCAAATGCATCCTCCATTTCTGGTTTGCAATCATTTCCCATTAATCGCTAAATGTATAGTGTGTTATATAACCAATTTAACAGTATAATTATGCTATTTACCCACCTGTGCAAATACCCGTCCGATACAGGATCGCGGACCCAGAGAAAATGGGAAATATGTGAAGTATGGTCTGAGTGGGAAACAAAATAAATGTTATTTTAAATATCACATAGAGACAGAGTAAAATGTGCCACTCTCACGGACATAATAACTTACTTTGGGGCATCAGGGCCAAATCTATCTGGATTGAACGTTTGAGGGTCATCATAATATTCCTCCATCCTTCCCATTATATATGAATTGAACTGTAAGAAAACAAATTGAATGTTTGTTCTGTGACATTACTAAACAATCTGCATTATGTTTCATGGGTAATTATTTCAATGAGACCAGTTGTTGGGGTCACGTTATTGGTCACTAGGAACAAAACAATAAAAAATAAATTAAAAAAAGAGTGATATCACATAGTGAAGCAGAAGAAATTATAATAGTGTAGTTATGTTTAACTTCAATGCAGAACAACTGAGAATGAGTCACTGTTATACATTGATATCAATATAGTACTGGAGAAACAATGCCATATACAGCCCAGGGTGTAGTTTTTTTTGTGAGGAAGCAGGAACTTCAACTGAACAGCAAATTAAGGAGAGAGATGCTGTAAAGAAAAATCTAAATGAAGAACAGCAGGGTTGTTCACTAAAGTGTTGGGAATTCAAAATGAATTTACATTTTTCAACAAAACCAGTTAAAAAAGAAAAATACAAATAAAAAGAAAATACAAAAAAAACCTTCAACTCAGCTCTATTTTTAGCTTGCCTATTTTGGACTAAAATTTGAAATACCCCTGTTACTATTTCCAGATTAGTTTACGGCTACTCCAACCACCATAACCTCTTCATCGATCTGGTAGGAGTCTGCATGTGTAGCATGTGTAGCTTGAAACGCTGCACATCCTGAGATATTTGAACTTGTGTGCCTGGGGCTAGTTTCACCCCCAGCAGACGTGACTTAGGACTGCCTAATGTCAATTCTGTGCATATTTTCTGTCTGTCATCAGCATGCACTGCTCGCTGGCAGCAGATTTAAAATCTTCTCCCTTGCAGGCAGAGTGCCTGCTTGGGGAAGATCACTTTCCCCTCCCTCCAACTGTGAGCTCCCTTCTTTCTAGTTTAGATTTCTCCTTCTCCCTCCCCTTCCTGGCTCAGATTGTGCACATGTGCTCTAAACCATTGAGATGAACCAATCACATGCTTCTTTATGAGAAACATGTGAAAGGACCATTAGAGGACCCCTGCTGTCGTCAAGTAGAGGAGGGAGAGTGGAGCAGAGCATGGACCATCAGTGGATTGCAGGTAAGTTTTAATTATTTTAATTTTTTAGAAGGGGGCGGGGGGAGCTTTTGACAAAGCCCTATAGGGTAATGTAAGCCCAAAGCAGCAAACCTTTAAGAGGGGTGGACTAACCCTTTGAAATTAAGTTTGCGTTTCTAAGAGTTCACAGCCTTTTTGTATTTTAACTGGAAAAGAGGTAAAGAAACAAACTTGGGTGATCTGACAATCACCCATTTTTACAGCATAGTGGGAGCAAGACAGGCATATCTAACAAAGATATAATTTGGAACGTACAAATATAGTTACTGGAGATGGAATCCTCACTCCATCTATCAGAAGGTCCTCCTGCAGCCCTCGAGAAGTTCCTGGTGCTGTGGGGTATAACCGGAGTGTCTCCTTAAGAACCTATGAAGAACAGAAGAAATTATTTCCATTACCTATAAAAAGGCATTGCACCTCTAGAAGGAAAATAAGCTTCAGGTGGAACTTCCCCCCTTACAGTTCTCCTGTCAGTCCAGTCAGACCCACAGGCTGATAGACTTTGCACCCTCTGTTCAGTGAAAACTTCCAATTCCAAAATACAACCAGTAGTTGACTTTGGAAACATACCCCTATTTGTATTTGCTACAAACTAATTGGCTTTCAATGAAAGGTGATAGAGGCTCATTTGGTGTACATATTACCTACCTACAGGCATACGCACGTGGAGAACAGTCAGTTGTGCCAAGGCTTTCTGTAAAAA